CCCCCCCTGGCCCTTCTTTTTGCCGGGGGTTCTTTCCCTTTGTGCCCCCTGGGGGGCCCTCCCCTTGATTTTTGGGGGGGGGTTGCCCGCCGCCCCCCCTCGAGAAAAATCCCCCCTTGATGCCCCCCCCCCCCCCGCCCCCACACACACCGGGTAGGTGCGCCATCAACTACGCCGAGGGGCTGACCATGATGATGCACCTCAAGGCCACCTACAGCGAGATCAGCCGAGATCAGCCGAGATCAGCCGAGACCGGCCGAGATCCAAAGGAGCAGCACCAGCCACGGCAAGTGGTGCAGAGTGCACAGCGCGCCATCACCCTCGCGCACCCTCACCGCTCCGCCCAATCACCCATTGCCGCCGTATCGGACCCCTCCCCGCCCTCGCCGCCGCCGTCCGCGTCCTCGCCCCACCAGTGGCGCCGGCCGTCTGTGCATGCCTTGATGCCGTCTCGCGATGAATTAGGCGATCCGCGTGTTCATCGAGTCGGTGCTGCGGTACGGCTTGACCAGCTACCGCGGCCAGGGCATGGCGCCCAACATGCAGGCCGTCATGCTCACGCCCGCCAAGGGCAAGATGGATGCGCTGCGCAAGACGCTCGGCTCGCTCTTTGCAACCTCGGCTTCGCTCATGGACGAGGGCGGCGACGAGGTGGCCGTGCCGGGCGCGGCGGGCGAGTTCTACCCCTACGTCTCGGTCTCGGTGAGCGTCTTCCCGCCCGTGCTCTAGTGCTCGCGCCGCCGTGGACGGGCGGCAACGTGGCGCCGCCGTTGCAGTCCAGTGACCACCATACGATGCCGCGCTGTGTGCCCCGCGTTGCGCGCCCGCACCTTACCTCGTACACACACGCAGACGCGCGCGCTGTCCTCCGTTCTGCACATCTCACATGCATTGGCGCCTCGTGCGGTCGTAAGAAGGAAACGAGAAACAATGGACTTAGATCAAAAGTTTGCCGTTTTTTTGGGTGGGTGGGTGGGGGGGGGGGGGGCGAGGGTGGAGGGAGCAGGGAGGACGCGCGCGCGCGCCGCGCGCGCGCGACCATAAAGCCCAAACTAAACCGACCCTGGACCCTGCCCTCTGCCCACACTCACCTCACGAGGGAAATCGCGGGCCCGGCTGTGCGGTGCACCAGCGGCGCGAAGCCCGCGAGCGCGGCACACCTGGCGTCGTTCAACGCTGCGAGGTGCAGCATGATCTCGCCGCCAGGCGGTGCCACCAGCGCGCGCATCTGGCGAGCCAAGCTGGCATACGCAGCCTGCCCGACCTGCTCCATCGCCGCCTCCGTTTGCGCAGCGGCGAGGTCGTTCAGCAGCTCAAGCGGCGGCGAGACGCGCAGCAGACGGCACAGCCTCCCGAGCCCCCGCCCCATCGGCAGCAGCGTCGGCTGCAGCGTCACTCCCCGCGCGTCGTGCCCCAAGTCTGCGATCAGCGCCGCGACGGCCGTCGCCTCGAACACCTGTCTCACGCCAGCAGGAGGTGAGTAGGCTTTGACCGGCGAGCAGCCCGTCTCAGAGGACGGGACTCGCCGGCTGGCAGACAATGCAGCTCGCTCCCTCCCGGAGCAACAGCCGCAGCTGCTCGAGGTCGGCCTATGGGCCAGAAGAGCCGGAGTCCCGCAGAGTGGAGGGGCGCTTCTCGCGAGGAGCCGAGCTACCTTACCCTTGCCGTACCGCACAAGATTCGGCTGCTCGCTCCTCTCAGGTGCGTCACCTCGGCTACGTCTCGGCTACATCTCGGCTACCCTCTCGGCTACAACTCACCGCGTAGTCGGCGGCCTCTCCCGCACTGCCGCGTGGGTAGCCGAGCACGCCCACCCGCACGGTGTGGCCGCGATGCCGCGCCAGGAGTCCGCTCACAAACCGCAGGAGCTCGAGACCACTCCCAAAGCTGCCGGCATCATGCTCGCTGAGTTCGCCGGGCGGCGGCGGCGGTCGCTCGCCCAGAGCAGGCATGAGCAGCAGGTCGCAGGCGCCGATTCGGTGGCAGGCGGCGACCACTGCAGCGGCGTGCGCCCGCGAGACGTCGCTCGCGAGGTGCAGCTGCAGTCGTAGGCCGTGGGCCCGGACGGCCGCCGCGAGCGCCTCAGCCGCGTCGGCCGCAGGAACGAAGCCGCTCAGGCTGATGAGACCCGGCCCAAAGGCTGCCATGTCGCCGAGCTGCTCGATCAGCTGTGCTGCACCCTCCGCCGAGCGCGGCACGAATAGCTCGAGCGAGAAGCGGTGCAGCGCCATGATGCGAGAGCTGTTGCGAGTGGGCACACCGCACGAAAAAAAAATTTGCACGCGTTGCGCAGCTATGAACAGAAGCGAGTTCGCGCTGCGCTAGGCTCAGACGGTGAGTTCGCGCTGCGCTAGGCTCAGACGGCGAGTTCGCGCTGCGCTAGGCTCAGACGGCGAGTTCGCGCTGCCTGCGCTAGGCTCAGACCCGAGTTCGCGCACACAAAAAACAAACTCGCACACACTGCTGGGGAGAGAGGCCCCGCCCGCCCAGGGTACCCTCCCCGAGGACCCATTGGGTTAGCTCTTTCGAGGACTCGCCGGGGCTCTGCTCCAAGAGACCTCGAGAGAGCGTGCGTGTGCCTCTACTCGCCAGCGCACACTGTGTAAGGCTACACTCATAAACGAATTTTACAACAAAACTCCGTCATAAAAAAAGACTTGGTACGCCTCAGCGGGCTCAGTCAGACCAGCACGCCCACCTCGCGAGCCGATCTTCTGGCTCGACGAGGGTCGAGGCTGCTGTGCGGGGCATTGGAGTGCATATACTTTTCCGGCAAACAAAAAGGAAAACAGAGGGTCCCCAGCACTTTGCGTTTCCGGAAATTTCCAGGGAAAACAGAGGGTGTTTGGTGCTCAATTCTGGAAACTCTCGAGTTTCCCTGAGTGAGTCTGAGAGCTGGTCTGGGGCAAAATCTGAGGCAAAATTGAGGAAATCGGCACGATACCCAGGCGGTCGCAGGGTATTTTCCAGGTATACCCGGGGGTTTCCAGGTATACCCGCAAAATACCCGGTATTTTGCCGATTTGGCTGATTTTGGGCCCAAACCAGCCTCAGACTCGGCTCAGAGCCCGGAAAATTTGATGGTTTCCCCGGGAAAATAGAGAGGAAAAGAGAGGGTGCTGTAGAGAAAAAAGGAAAGGAAAAGAGACGGGGTGCGAGAGGAAAAGTATATTCAGCCTAAGCGGGGCACTCACTCGAGAGAAGCTTCCTTATCAGCTGGTCGGCCGCCATGTGGGCCTCCGGGCCTGCTGCGGCGGCGCGGCCGGTTGAGGCCGGGCTCGGCCCGGCCCGCGACGGCTGGCCGCCGACGAGCGCGCTCGCGCTGCTCGTCAAGATGGCGGCGGTGGCGATTGCGGCGACAAAAGTTCAGGCGTACAGCGCTCAGGCGTCTGTCATCTGTCGTCTGTTGTCGCATTTCGCACACGCGCGCGCCGCGCGACCCGCGTCGCTCCGCGAGGGCATGAGCCTTCCGCGATTCGAACCCGCAGCCAAAAGCTGCTCGCTCGAACCGCGGCCGACTCCGCCACCGCGGCCGCAGCTGCTGAGCTCTCCAGAAAACTGGTGCCTCATATGCTGCCTCCCTGCGGATGCTGCCGGCGAGCCTGGCGGTCCGCTGTACTACAAGGAAGTGCTGACTCGATTTCTACTTGAATTCTTCTACCCCCACGACTCGGAACGCGAATGTGACAGGACCATCGGGTCCTTCAGCCTCCAAAGCGGGATCACCCGAGAGCAGCTGAGCCTGCCTCTGGCCTCGCCTCCCTCTCCTTCAGGCATTCGTGGCATCCTATGGGTCGTCCAGAGTATCGACCTCTGGCTTGTCAGCCGGTCACTTGATGACGACCATGAAGTACAGCGATCGCCACCTCGCTGGCCTCTCCGCAAGGCCTCCCGACCGCGTCGAACTCACGGCGCGGGCTCTCTCGGCTACGGGACCGGCCCCAGCTTCGGCTGAGGGCTGACAAGCTGCCGAGCCCAAATCACTGTGAGAGTCGTGATTTCTTGTTGGTTAATAAAAATCTCTCTCTCACTCGCGGGCCGATCTTCTGGCCCAGCGAGGCCGCTGCTGGGCACACGCCTCTTTCCTTACGGCGGAAGGAATTATTTGCAAGATCCTCGCTTCGGGCCGAGCAGCCGAAAAGTGAGAAAAGAGATCTCTGAAAAGTGATGAGATAAGGACCTCTGAAAAGTGAGAAAAAGGACCTCCAAAGTGGCGTGATAGGACTGCCCAGCACTCCGGGATGGTGCCCCGCAGCACGCTCATGGTCGTGCTCACCTCGCTCTTCGCCACCCGCGTGGCCGCGCACGGTGCGATGACGTACCCGATGGCGCGCAACTACTTTGACCCGTCGAGACAGCCGGACGTTGGCACCGGCGGCCCCGACGCCTCAGGTCGGCCCGACTTCCAGAGCGGCAATGGGTACGGCAACGGTCCGAATTTCTTCAGCGAGGCCGGTGGCAGCCCGTGTGGCGACGAGCGAAACTCGGGATACTCGTCACCAGGTTGGCATTACAAAGGACGCAACGTAGACGATCCGCTTGGGAACAGGGCTGAAGGCGTCAGCATGAGCGACATGTACTTGCAGCTCAGGGCGGACAAGGCCAAGTGGGGATACTTCCAGCCGGGCGGCACATTTGATGTCCACATGACGATCACGGGGTACCACGGAGGAAAATTTGCGCTTTACCTGTGCCCGTGGCACCCGGGCACCGACGACTTTGATTACGAGGAGTGCGGAGTCTTCAAGTCGTTGCCACGTTTCAACACAAGCTCGCCCTACTTCATCGATGAGTACGAACTGCCTGAGAATTTCATCCTCTGTCAAAACTGCATGGATGAGACGATCAATCCTCGTGTCGAGCACAACGGCCGTAACTGGTCGCTTGTCGCCAACTACGACCCCAGCCGACCAGTGAACGATCAGCTCTGCGGCTACAGCGAGCCGTTCATCAACCCCACCGTTGGTGAGTGCAGCTTTGGCATGGTTGCTGACGGCAACGGCTGCCAGGGTCCCGCTGCTGGCAGCTTGATGAACTGCGATGGAACATCCAAGCACATCATCCGGGATGTGCGGGTGCCTCCCGCCCTCATGACGGAGGACGCCGTTCTGGTGTGGCACTGGATCACGGCGAACAACCCGGACGAGCCCGCTGATGCGGAGCAGTTCATGAACTGCGCCGACATGCAAAGCTCGATCCCTCCGAACCCCCCTGCGCCCCCAAACCCACCGTTCTCGCCGCCGGCACCCCCGGCGCCCCCGCCACCCCCGTTCCCGCCGTGTGGGGACCCTCCAGAGTACCCCTGCTTGGGAGAGGGAGGGTACTGTGGAGATTGCCCCACGGGCGGCCCCCCGTGCACGGAGGTTCCTGCAGTTTACTGCGGACCAGGGCTGGCCTGCGTCTCGATGGGCTACACCATGGAATGCAGGCCGGAAGCTGACATGTTCGGATCGATGTTCCCAGAGGCGACGCCGGTGAAGGCGCGGGGGTCGCTCCTCTTTGGCGGCGCCAGCGCCGCATGGGACTGCGAGGAGGGCGAGGGGACCTTCAGCACCAACGGCTTTGACGCGTTTTGCAAGGTGCCTGCCGGAACCACCCCGCCGGATCTGCCAGGTCTGAACAAGGTCCGCAAAGGAGGCGTGGGTGCCGCCAGCTACCGGGGGTGGACGACATGCTTCCGCCCAGTCTACCCTTACGGGTGCGGCGAAGGCTGCCTCAAGGTCACCTGCAACGGCAAGGCCGCGTACGTTGCTACCGTGGACAACCAGGCTGGGGGGCCGCACGTCGGTGACCTGTGGTACCCGGGCGACCGTGACACCATGCACGTCGTAGCTGTCTGGGGAGCTACGATCTGCGGCGGCAACCTCTGTGGCGAAGACGGCGAGATGCTCACCTGCGCCTACGAGAGCGCGGACTCCTCGCACTGCTGGGAATGAGCGCGCCTCGCGTGAGTGAGTGAGCACCACCACGCGTCACAAGATTCACCAATTGCGGTGTGGCCTGTTCAATATGTCTCTATGTTAATGATCTCCCCGCGAGACGTAGTGCGTGTGTATTATGCGTGTCGGTGTACGCTCGTGTCCATTGGAGGGTGCATTTTGTTCAGTAGACAGCGTACAGTATATACCGAGAAACTATACACTTACTCACACTCAGTACAGCAAGTGCGTTCGCACTACTCACGTACTTCCCGACACACCCTCTCTCCTCGGCGCTCGTGCCGGGGCTCCGCTGCCAGAGCGTCGAGAGACCCTGAGTCGGTGTCCGGCGCGCGCCGGAGCGTACACTACGCGCGGAAGGCGCGGTGTCACACCGAGTGCAATGTCTATGATGCTGCGCCACGTACTACTCAGAAGCCCGCCGCCTGGCCCGCCATGATCGCGGCACGGGCGTCGCCGCTCGCCTCGCCGAGCAGCCTCCGGAGCTCAAGGGTGCTCTTACTCGGCAGCGCCAAACGCATCTCGTCCAGCAGATCCCCTCCGACGCTTGCTGGCCGGGCGGCGGCTGGGAGGACGCGGCTGGCTGCGGCGGCGACCCCTCCCAGCGCCCGCGCGGCTCGCGGCCAAGCAGGGCCTGGGAGCCCTCGCGACGCGCTCTCTCGGGGCTCGGCGGCGCAGGCTCTTCCCACGCCTCGAGATCGCCCGAGATCGCCCGAGACTGCCCGAGGCCACCCCCCGCGCCCCACGACTCGCACGCGCCCCTCGCCGAGGCGGCGGGCGGCGGCGGCAGCGCCTTGAAGGGCGGCAGCGCGTAGACGAAGAGCAGCTCGGGCACGAGGAGCGTGAACCAGAGCAGCACGTTGGCGAGCTGCACGAGGGCTGACCGGGTCGCGTGATCTCGCGCCATCTCGGACGATCTCGGGTGGCCCCGGGTATACTCGTGCGATCTCGGTTGGTCTCGGGTACAGCCGTGCGATCGCCACCTGCATGAGCGCGACCGGGTCGCGCGGCCACAAGCCGCCCCCTGCGATGGCGGAGTACGAACTTCGCGTTCTCGCGCTTCGAGGGTGCGCGGCAATATGTACCCACCTCGAAAATCGATATCTACAATGACTCAGTTGGTTGACTTCTGTTAGGCGCCGAGGCGCCGGCGCCACGCCTGTCACCTCCTCTGGCCGACATGGAGGCTTCCGCCACAGAGCGGTCGGACTGAGTCACCGAGGGGTGAGTCACGCGTCCGCCTGCCTCGCGCGCGCCTTGTGGCACAGCACGGCGGTCTGGTTGAGGAACATCTGGCGAGGGGAGAGCGCCGAGGAGACGATGCGTGTGGAGGTGGCTAGGGCGTTGACTGGAACCGCGGCGTTGCTCCTTCAGGACGCCGCCCAGGCGCCGGTGGCCTCTCAGCTCATAATGTAGGGGAGGCGCTCCACCGGGTTATGGACAGGGGGGGGCGGGGGGGATTATATAGCACACACAGGCGCTGTCAACTTCTTGATTCGCGCATCATCGGCGTCTCACGGCCGGGCCGCCGCGGGTCGGAGTGCGACGGAGAGGGATTGGGGTCGATCCGTAAATCCGTAAGCAAAACGAGCCACCAGGGAGTCCCCCAGTCCCCCACCACACCCTCACCCAGCTACCAGGGAGACACAGACACTGAGTACGAGAGACAGAGAGGAGGCTGCGCTGTGCAAGCTGCATGGGCTAAGACGCTTGGTATTTATTGTGCCCGACGCGAGGGGTTTTGCCCTCGAGTTTGTTCAGTCAAGGGACACGTTGCCCAGTCCGTCGGGGTTTGGCCCAGTTAGGGGGTTTTCAAGAAGGAATCTTGCCCGGTCAAGGCAAAAAAGTGCATTATTCGCGATAACTCTAGTCGCAACTGGCGCATCTCTCCGTCTCCGGTCTCCGCGCGCACACTAGGGATCCGTACTCACGAGAAAACACATGCACTCTACTCAACACGGCCTCTGCTCAACACAGCTCTACTCAACACGGCCTTTGCAGATCACTCACTTGCCTCGCCGGATCGGATCACGTCGCGGAGGACGTTGCGCGCTCCGGTGATCTCCTTAGCGCGAGTGTCCGCCTGCATGCGGACCGCAGCGGCGGTGGGGCCATGCGGCTGGGATGACGAGCGCGGGCGCTTCATGACAGTCGACTGTTCGCAGCGCTAGCGGAGTGATGTCTTGTAGGAACCGATTGTGTTCACTAGCAGTCAGTAAGTAGCTGAGTGGTGTCTTGTAGGCCCGATTGTGTTCACTAGCAGCGGGCTTGTCTGTTTGTTTGTTAATGACAACGCGCACACACACTCTCCCAATATGTCCATGTGACATGTGCCATGGGGCTGGAGGCAGTAGGCAGTAGGGTGGCAGAGGGTGGTGCGCGCTGGCGCGCGAGCTTTCCCAGCGCTCAGTTTCTCCTGACCTGGCTCGGAGCCCAGCGCGTCGTGTGAGCAACACAAAACGCGGTCCATCGCCAACGGCTCTCCCTCTGTCAGATTCGGCGACCGGCGACCGCCCTGGCGCTGCACCCGTCCGGCTCCACGCCCACAATGGTATCGATCCGGACCGCGTCTATGTCCGACCTGCTCGCGATGCAGCAGTGCAATTTGTCGTGCTTGCCGGAAAACTACCAGATGAAGTACTACTTCTATCACATGCTTTCGTGGCCGCAGCTGCTCCACGTCGCCGAGGACTCAAAGGGGCGGATCGTCGGGCGCGCCAGCCCCACATAGACAGACGTGCCACGGCGGTGTGGGCGAGGGCGCCACAACAGCGCCGTCCAAGATTTGTAAGCGAGACCACCCGTTCCCGGAGGCCCACGCGCGCCGCGGAGTGGACACTCCGCTCTGGTCGTGGAACGCCCGGGGGGTTGGGGGGGTGGGGGGTGTCCGCTGGCCCACGGCTCTCGGCCGGCCGCGCAGGTACGTGCTTGCCAAAATGGAGGAGGATTCGCCCGAGGTGCATGGTCACATCACTTCGCTCGCAGTGCTGCGGTCGCACCGCAAGATGGGTATCGCTGCCAAGCTCATGACGGCAGCACAGGAGGCGATGGAGGAGACCTTCAAGGCCGAGTTTGTCTCGTTGCACGTGCGGAAGTCGAACCGCGCAGCCTTTGCCCTCTACTCGTCCACGCTCGGCTTCCAGATCAACGACATCGAGGCCGAGTACTACGCCGACAAGGAGGACGCGTACGACATGAGGAAGTACTTTGCGCACGCCAAGCACAAGCCGCGCCCCAAGTTTGCCAACCCAAATGCGCCGCCCACTGACACCGATGCTGTGGACATGCTGCCGCCGAGCGGAAACGGCGCCGCGCCCACCTCGCAGCAGTCGCACGCGCTCGAAGGGGAGCATACCGGCGCTTGACGCACTGCTGGTAGTCGCGCGGTACTCTTTAGAGGGAGAAGGAGAGCTGGTGGAGAAGGGAGGGAGAGAGAGACGGAGAGAGAGCGATGCGATCTTTTCGCGGCTTCTCTCGGTCTGCGGTCTCGCCCGGGCCCGCCTTTCGAGTTTCGCAAAATATTTTTCATTGCTTCACCTGACTTGGAACACTGACTGTATGTAAAATACAGAAAAGGCATGCGAGGCCATTTACAAATTTACTCACCAAGCTGTTTCATGCGCAACCGCAAGCGTGGCCAGACGCCATATAGGCATGCGCCTTTTCAAACCCGCTCCTCTGATCCATTCCCTCCGGGCGAGTCCAGCTCAGTCTGGGCGATGCGATGCGTGTGGACCGGCGAAGCCTCAAGCGTCGGCGACTGAGACACGTCGAAGGGGAGGTCGGCCTCGATCGACTCCATGCGGCGAGTAGGCGAGAAGAGTCCGCCCCCGAAGAAGTCGCCCTCGGACGAGCGGCTCTCCCGCGCCCAGCGCGAGCTAAACCGCTCGCGGGACGACTTGAGCAGCGCCTAGATGGTCCGAGAGCAGAACAGGTCACTCGTGGGACCTTCGCCCCGTGCCTGGCCATGCATGTGCGCGCCACTGCCGTCAGACGCAACGACCCGATCCGCGATCCCCAAGCCTAAGTGAATCCGCCGACATCAGGGCGGGAATACGGGATTGTGCAGAGCAGAGCACACGGTGAGCACACCGGCCACGAATACAGTGAATACGGCGGAATACAGCGGAGTCCGTCTCCTCTCGAGTGCCAGTTGGAGTACAAGACTACGTCTTCCGCTTCTACGCCCCCGCGCCGCATGGTCGCCGTCCTCGCTGTCTGCGATCCCAAGCCTGGACCGACGGAGGACCGACGCCGCGGCGGCGCACGGCAGCGTGGCTAGCGCCCAAACAGACCGCGGCACAACAAGCATCGAGGAGACAAACGTGATGGCACACCTGTGACAACATTCGCGGGGGAGTGACTGGGCTGCTCTCGAGGTCTCGAGGCTTTGGCAACCCACGTCTCCCCGTCCCTCGAGGCCTGGATGCGGAGTAGAGACCCAAATCTCCCCCTGCCCCCCCCTGCCCCCCCCCTGACTCCCCATAACAGGCGAATGGCGCACGTGGAGACGGAGATATGGGGAGATATGGGGAGATATGGGGAGATATGGGGAGATATGGCGAATGGCGCACGTGGAGACGAAACGGACGTAGTGATGAGGTAACAGCGCGAGGGCGCCAACAAGCGGCGGCGGCGGCGGCGGGCGCAGCAAGAGGGCCTCCTTCAAGACCTGCGCAGCGCGGGGGTCACATCAAGAGGGAGGGGAGCCCACCCAGAGGGGAGCTCAGGGGAGCTCAACGCTCAAGGGGAGTGCAAGGGCTGCGGCTGCTGCACCAACTACTGCGACTACTGCTGCGATATACTGCTGCGGACTACTGCGCATTATTACTGTCGGCTGCTGATTACACGCTGTTACTGTGGACTATCGCATGCTATCAATAACATGTTAATGACCGTTGATTATTATGAGTCGCCCAGTACAGCGCTGCGGCTGAACATAGGGCTCGTGGCCGTGTCCTCCCTAGCTGAGCTGGCCGTGTCCTCCCTAGCTGAGCTGGCCGTGTCCTCCCTAGCTGAGCTGGCCGGCTCCGGTACGAACTGCTCACCCGCGCTCTCCCTCAACTACGCGCGGGGCCGTCGTCGCCCCATATCTCCCCATATCTCCCCATGTGAGAGCGGAGGCGGCGGCGGTGGCGGCGGCGGTGAGGGCGAGGGCGGCGGCGGCGAGGGCGGCGGCGGCGAGGGCGGTGGTGGTGATGGGGTGGCGGCGGCGGGGGGAGATGTGGGGAGATCTGGCCTGCAGCTAACGCATCTAGAGGGAGAGGTGTGGGGAGATGTGGGGAGATCTGGCCTGCAGCGGGTATGGCGAGCGGCGCGAGAGCAGTGCGAGCGTCATCTCGTCGCGCAAGCTGATCGGCGGCTGCAGCAACACGCTCCCTGCCGCGTGGGCGGCCAGGCGCTGCCTCAGAAACGTTAGCTGCTCGGGAGACACGTCGAGGCCTAGAGAGGGAACACGCCGGTGGATTTCTTTTTTGTTCGGCGCGAGCTGCTCGGGAGACAGATCGACGCCTAAAGAAGATACGCCGGCGAATTTCTTTTTTGTTCGGCGCGAGCAGCTCGGGAGACACGTCGTGGCCGGCGGCGATGGCGAGAAGCGGCCCAGCCGTCGCCGCCTCACGTGCGGACTCGAGGATGATCTGAAACCCGATCCCGACGGCGTCGTCTCGGTGGGAGGAGAGCCGCAGCACCGACAAGTCTGGGAGGCACTGGGCCACCAGCGCGATCGCAAGCTGCAGATGGCCACCGCCGCCACCTCGCCCGGCAGACGGGCGAGCAGAGACGAGCAGCTCGGCGGGCGGGTACCGCAGCACGAGCTGGTCGTAGCAGGCGAGCAGCGTGGTGAGGGGCAGCTGGTTGACGAAACAAGAGGGGAGCCACTTGAACGCGATTAGGGAGAGGATGGCAAGCGCATCCTTCTCACACAGCACGTGCTCCGCAAACAGCGCCGGCAGCTGCGCCCTCGCGAGCAGCTGCAGCACGTGCACCTCCCTGTGCTGACGCCGGCGGGCCGACTCTCACCCAAGCTCGAGGCAGGGGGAGGCGCAAGGCGCCGAGGTGTAGCCGAGGTGTAGCCGAGGTGTAGCCGAGATGTAGCCGAGATGTAGCCGAGGTGTAGCCGAGATGTAGCCGAGATGTAGCTGAGATGTAGCCGAGATGTAGCCGAGATGTAGCCGAGATGTAGCCGAGATGTGGCCGAGGTGTAGCCGAGATGTAGCCGAGATGTAGCCGAGGTGTAGCCGAGGTGTAGCCGAGATGTAGCCGAGATGTAGCCGAGATGTAGCCGAGGTGTAGCCGAGGTGTAGCCGAGATGTAGCCGAGGTGTAGCCGAGATGTAGCCGAGGTGTAGCTGAGATGTAGCCGAGATGTAGCCGAGATGTAGCCGAGATGTAGCCGAGATGTGGCCGAGGTGTAGCCGAGATGTGGCCGAGGTGTGGCCGAGGTGTAGCCGAGATGTAGCCGAGATGTAGCCGAGGTGTAGCTGAGATGTAGCCGAGATGTAGCCGAGATGTAGCCGAGATGTAGCCGAGATGTGGCCGAGGTGTAGCCGAGATGTGGCCGAGGTGTGGCCGAGGAGGATCCCCCGATCTCGCCAGATCTCGCCAGATCGAACTCACCGCTGCAGCCCGATCATGTCGGGCGGCGCGTAGAAGTCCGAGGGCAGCAGCAGCTCGACCCACGCGACAAAGGTCCAGAAGGCCGTCTCCTCACCCGACAACAACTCCCCACCGCCAGGCTGCGTCGCCGCGGAGGAACCCGAGCTGGCAGCGGAGGAACCGGAACCGGAGCTGCCAAGCGCCGTTCCGGACCCGGCACCGCGGCCGGCGGCGCCCTCCTCGGCGGCGCGCAGCGCCGCGGCACTGGCACTGGTGCCGCCGCCGCCGCTTGCGGCGCTGCCGCGCTTGGCACCCGCAGTGTCCACTTGCGGACCTGGAGGCGCTGCGGCAGGCGCTGCGGCAGGCGCTGCGGCGTGTCCCGTCACCGCGAGGAGCACAGAGGCGATGAAGTTCATTCCCTGGCAGTATCCGCTCGAGCCGCGGCGCGCACACCACGCGCACAGCAGCCGCTTGATTGCCCGTGAGTGCTCGCCCATTTGTGCCGCTGGAAGGATCAGATCTAGATCCTCGACGCCCGAGCGGCAGATGTCGAGCGATATTTGCTCGTGATCGTCGGCGGAGATGGGGCGAGAGAGCAGGACACGATAGCTTTCGCCTGCGGCAGATGCTGCCTTCGCCAGCTCCAATCCTCCCGTGCGGACCGGCCACCGCTTTGCGCATCGTGCCAGGAAGCCGCTGAGATCGCTTCGGCCTGGCCTCCTTTCGTCCGGGCTGTATGCGGCGGCGCCTGTCCCTCCGCACAGCACCGATCGCGAGTTGCACTGGGGACTCTCTCTCCCGCCGCCGCGCACCTCCACCTGCAGAGCGGGCGGCATGTGTGTCGAGCGACAAAGGGCGCCGGCAGGCCTCAGAGCAAGAAGAAAAGTATCGGGCAGACTTCAGGCTATTAAAATCCCTGTGTGGTGGCGGCGTGCCGTCCTCCCATCGTATTGTATTTTTCTTTCTTTCACAGCTTTGCACATAGATCTGTAACGAACGACAAAACATATGCCTCCGCGAAGTCGGGGCGGAAGCGCGCCGCCGCCATCGCTCTACGTCGGGCCATGGCAGGAGCTTGCGCTCAGCCGTGCCATCGCCTCGTCCCGCGCACGCATTGCGGTGGCGTGCGAGGCGCAGGTGGCGCAAGAGGCCTCCAGCGCGTCGCTGCGGGGGGCGGAGGCCGGCGAACGCCTCGCACGCGCCTTGACAGAAGCGGTGCAAGAGCCAGAGCCAGAGCGAGAGGCCGCACTCGTACGAGCCGTTGCGGCCAACGCCGCGGTTATGGCCGCCGACGCGGTGCTGCGGCCGTCCTCCATCCCTCAGGCACCTCTGATTGGCTGTTGGGTCGCCGTCGGCCGTGACACCGTGAGCTTCTTCGCCCCGTGGCCTCGCAGGCGCGCCACGCAGCATTCTCGAAGAGAGAGGAGGGCGCCGGGCGCCGGGTCGTGATCCGCTCACAACGAGAGCGGCGCATGGCCCAGATGCGCCGCATCTATGGCTACAGCGACTATGACGATCCGTCTGCTACGCCACACCCTGCCTCGGCTGGCCCCCCGACGCGTGCATGTGCATGTGTATGTGTTGTGGATGGAGGCACCACGCACTCGATCCGGAACAGCCCGTATCGACCGCCGCCGGCGCCTCCCGTGGCAGTACCAGTAGGACGCCCTGCAGACGGGTGGTTTGGAGATCCGTCGAGTTCTGCACGGGCGCCGGCGGCCGCCACGGAGTGGGAAGCGCAGCCCCAGGACGAGGAGGTGGAGGACCTGCTAGCCTGGAGCAGAGCGCTGCCCTTCTCCCAGCCGTAGCCCGTATGTCATTTTCTTCGTTGAGCCCGCCGTACACGTTTCGCGCGTCCTCCCTCGCGCTGCGGCATACCACAATGCCGTTTGTGCATGTGCATGTGCATGTGTGGCCCCGCCCTGCACGATCTTGGTGTGAGGGATCTTCAACGATCCGTCCCCTCCCCACCCCTGGTCACTCGCCGACACTAGAAGAGCGGCGCGAGTGTTGGGGCTGCGGCTACGGCTGCGGCTGCGGGAGGGGCTGTGGTCGCGGGAGAGCCGCTGCGCCGCATGGACGCGCCTACCACCGCTCTTGCTCTTGCTCCGCTCGGCGCTCGCCACCTCTCACAAAAGGTCCAAAGTCATAGCCACCACCTCCTCCCCGGCAAGTCCTAAATAAATAAATAAAACGGAGACACCAAACAAGGGGTGGGAGAAGGACAGGGTCCCCACCTGCGCGAGCAGGATCTTGTAAGCTAGGGACGATCAGGGACACAGGGGAACGGGAGCGGGGAGCGCATCGCGACACGGAGGGGGGCTGGGCAGGGTTCACCCACACGACAGGGTCCCAGGGATTCCCCTCTCGTATAGGACAAAGTTGCACCCGGCGGCACGGGCGGGGGCAGGCGCGGGCCTCCTACTGGTTGCGCTCTCCTAGTTCTCCTGCTACTGACAAAAGGGACAGCGACAGGTTCGCAGCACGGTGGACTCCCCCTGCAAGTCCTTGTGTTGTGAGATTTTTAGCAATACCAAACAACTCTAACACTTTTGTTTGTTTGTGTTGTGCGACAGCGAACTAAATTCTTTTTGCGTGCCACTGCGCGCCAGTCTCGTGCTGTGTGAAGGGCAGGCTGCTGCCTTGGCGTTATTCTTTTTGCCAGTAATGTGCCCAGGGTCGTGGAGGGAGTTTCGTTGTACAGTTCTTTCTGCGGTGAATATGTAATTCTTTTTCGCAGAGCGACGCGCTCTCCGGTGGATGTCGATACAGGGCAAGAAGGCAAAGGACTTGCCTTACGCGCGGCTCCTGTTCCGGCAGAAGGATCGCCATTTCGCCACCGTCGTCTTTGCTCGCGCGCACGCCTCGCGAGCCGCAGACGCCGAGCGGCCTGCTGGCCGCACTTTGTTCCTTGCCAACCTGCCGCTGTCGGCGACGGGATCCGCGCTCCGCTCGGCGCTCGAGGCGTTTGGTCCCGTCGACGCGGTGCATATGGACGCGGCGGGCGGTGTCGCTGCCTCTCCTCGCCGCAGCCAGCAAGCGCATGTCGTCTTTGCGGCGGCCCCGGCGCTCCGCAAGTGCCTCAAATGCGACCGCGCCATTCCGCTCTCCGCGGGAGGGGGGGGAGGAGGCGCGTCCAGCGTGGGCGGCACTTTGGGCGACGCGCCCGAGGATCGCGAGACTCTCGGTGCATCGGTCGCTGCATTCCTGCAGCAATTTGAGGCGGACGAGGCGTCGCGCGCACGCGCGGCGGAGAGCGCGCACGGAGCGATGGACGAGGACGGCTTCGTGCTGGTGACTCGCAAGGCAAAGGGGAGGAGCGTCGCGAGCGACGGCACCGTCTCGATGGGTGCCGCCTCGGACGCAGCCACCGCCGCGCGCGCCGCCAAGCGCGTTGCCTCCCGAATCGTTGGCCGCAGAGAGACTCGCGCCTCTGATTGGGGGCGCTCTGGCTCGTAGGCGCGCCAAGCGGAACCGCGCCGAGGCGAACCTCGACTTTTATCAGTTCCAGGCGCCCGGGCCCGCAGCATGTTCCCCCTCTATCGCATCTTCCGACCGCGATCCACTTGCCTTGCCCCTCCGCACAGGCACACGAGCGCAAGCGCGACAAGCTGCTGGCGCTACGGGAGCAGTTCGAGGCGGACAAGGCTCGCGTCGCAAAGCTGCGCGCCGACCGCAAGTTCCGCCCGTACTAGAATCGAATGCATGTACACGAGTTTATCTGCTCCGGCTTCTCCACACGGTCGCGCTCCCGGACACTTTTGAATCAAACTTCAAAGAGTGACGAAGCCCTGCCCGGGCGCACGCCTGCTGCGTGCCACTGCTTCTGCCGTCTTTTCATCTAGCAGCTCCGTACACTCAATAATCGAAAGCCGTAGACTTAGGGAGTAGGGCTTTAGGGTGGACCATCCATTACACGGCATTAGGGGCAAGGGGGAAGCGGCGGCGGGGGTCCGAGGTCCGAGGCCGAGGCGTCACGTCCATTCGGATTTCGGTCCGAAAACGGTCCACGCGCGATATTGGATATATACTTTAGAGCCGCACGGCTTTACGGCTTTAGTTTCACGTCACACGTCGCGTCGCGCGAATATGGAATAAAGCCGTAGCGGCTAGCGCGCGTGCTTTCTCGCAGCGGTATTTTTTGGTGTTCCTCTAAGCTATCTATAAGGTCACCGCTCGTCACTTGACCGCTCCACTCTCCACACCACACCCGAGGGATGCCCTAATAGCTCACCCGACGGTCCCCCAAAATGTGAGGGTGCGGTGCGACCGTGTCCGCACAAGCGTAGCACACAGACCACAGAGGTCAGAGCCGTATGTGCCGCAGATCGGTGACAAGGTTAGAGAGCAGGATGTGTGGATGTGTGGATGTGTACCGGTATGTCGTATCGCAGTGTGCCACCCCCTCCGAATCGTCCTCACTTCCGCGAACTCTCGGGCGGCTTGCGCGAGTGCGCGCCCCAGCGCCAGTCGTCCTCGTTCGTGATGAGCATCTCCTCGGGCGAGCCCTCGAACTTGACGTACAGGCCCTCGCGCGGATCGCAGCTGTTGACCACCCCCTGGTAAGGCACGTCCACCTTGCGGCCATTGAGCTCCTCCTCGTACCACACCGTGATGCGCGCGCCCGACACCTCGGCGCGCGATTTGCCCTTGAAGTCAAAGTCGGCGCGCTTGCGCTTGGGGCCGCTCGGCTCGGGCATGCCCCTCGACCGCACCGGCTCGACCGGCCTCCCGCGCTTGCTGGGCGCCACCTCGATCTCGAGATCGATCTCGAGGTGAGGAGCGAGGTTGTGCACCGCCGTCGCCATGGCCTCAAAGTCTTCCTCCACGTCGCCCTGCCGCAGTGGGATGGCGGCCGCGGCCATCTTGGCCTCGCGCTTGCCCTTGGCAGTGGCTGGCGCCGACACGGCCTCGCCGCGCGCATTGCGCATCTTGCGCGTCACGGCTCGCAGCTCCGGCGCCTCCACCTTAGTGTGCCTGAGGTCGGGCGGGAGGAGGTGGTCATTGGGCGGGAGGAGGTGGTCCTTGGGCGGGAGGAGGTGGTCATTGGGCGGGAGGACGGCGAGGGCGGCGAGGGCGGCGAGGGCGGCGAGGGCGAGGAGGGCGAGGAGGGCGAGGAGGGCGAGGAGGACGAGGGCGAGGGCGATGACGAGGACGAGAAGGGCGAGGCGGCGGCGGCGGCGGCGGCGGCGGCGGCGGCGGCGGCGGCGGCGGCGGCGGCGGAGGAGGAGGAGGAGGAGGAGGAGGAGGAGGAGGAGGAGGAGGAGGAGGAGGAGGAGGAGGAGGAGGAGGAGGAGGAGGAGGAGGAGGAGGAGGAGAAGGAGGAGGAGGAGAAGGAGGAGGAGGAGGAGGAGCAGGATTCCTCCGCTGCCGGTCGATCACGTCCTGCACCAACTTGTCCTGCACGTTGCCCTTCTCGCGGTGGTACTCGTCCTCCGCCTCGCTCTTCGCCTTCTCAAAGGTGGTCTGTCGCGACCGGTGCATGGGGCGCGCTCAGCGAGGGGCGCGCGTGAGAGCCCGAGTGTGCGCGCGCTCCAGGCCCCGCCGCCAGCCCGGCACCTGCACAATGGCGAGCCGAAAGTCGCGTAAGCTCTCCGCCTTTCCAAACTTGGACCCCTTCACGCTCCGGAGCCGCTTCTCCTCCTGCACGATCCGCGAGTGCGTGCCTGCGCGCGCCTGCTCGAGGCTCACCTTGAGCGCCTCGAGCCGCTTCTCGTCCGCTTCAGAAAACACCATGGTGAGACGGGTGCGGAAGCCTGCACAAAGGTGGGGGTGCGTCGGCGGTGCGGCGGAGGCGGAGGCGCGAATATCTAAGGGAGAGTTGGGCAGTGGGAAGGCGGACCAAGAGCGCCTGGCTGCTCGAGGCTCACCTTGAGCGCCTCGAGCCGCTTCTCGTCCGCTTCAGAAAACACCATGGTGAGACGGGTGCGGAAGCCTGCACAAAGGTGGGGGTGCGTCGGCGGTGCGGCGGAGGCGGAGGCGCGAATATCTAAGGGAGAGTTGGGCAGTGGGAAGGCGGACCAAGAGCGCCTGGCTGGAAACACCCAACGAGATGATGCGGCGGAAAAAATTTGTCGCAATCCGTCTTTCTTTCTTTCTTGGCTGCGTCTCCATGCCAAAATAAATTTCCTTTTTCGTTTCTTGAACCGTTTTTCAAACTCGATCGTGCGATCTCAAACATACAGATCGCGTGTCATCCCAGAGATGCTTAGAAATTATGCGCGGTGCTCGCGAGACAGTTCTCGACGGTCTGCTGCTCTAGGGCGCCTGGGTCTAAATTTAGTGCGTGTGAATGAACTTTAGTGATAGTTTAGTGCGCTATTTAGTGTGTGTTCGAGTGCGTGTGTAGTGCGACTTTAGCGCAAATTTAGCGCAAATTTAGTACATATTTAGCACATATTTAGCACATATTTAGCACATATTTAGTGTGTTTTATCTCCAGTTTAGCGCCACATTTAGTTCACTTTAGGTGCGGGCAGCTGCAGTAGATTTAGTGTGGGTCCCGCATCTTTAGTGCGGGCACGCAACTTTAGCACGGCTTCCCAGCCACACCACAGCTGGCCAGGGCCGCGTGCTTTGCTCCTTGGCTGCCAAGAATGCACCACAGGAGATGCCTGGCCCCTGCCCTCATGACCCTCACCTCGATGATGACCGTGTCAAACATCACCGCGGCGCAGTCGCTCGCGTTGAGGCACAGCTTGAGGTCCTCCACCTTGGTCGCCGCCGGCAGGTCGAGCGTGCCCCTCGCATCTCCCTGCTGCCACGGCAGCGCCACCCTCGTCTGCTCGGCCGTGTCTGCCATCGCAGTAAAGTCGTTATGTTCACGCCCCGCGCTTGGCAAACGTTTTGCCGCTCGGCGGGCCCGGAGAAGCAGCCCGGAAAGCACCTTTTATCGAGTAGGCTGATATTCAGCTGAAGAACCTTCGCTCGGTTGGGGATGGGACGGGGAACTTTTGCGAGTGGGCAGGGAACTGCAGGGGGAGAGGGGGAGGGAGGCCCAGCGAGGGGCTGCGGCTGGATCCTACTGCGCGGCTGGACTAAAGACGCACTAAACCTCGCTAAATCTGGATGTAAAGTCGCAGTGAACTCGCGCTAAATTTGCGCTAAATTTGCACTAAATTTGCACTAAATTTGCGCTAAAATCGCACTAAATTCGCGCTAAAGTGCACTAAAGATGCAGTGCATAAACACTTCACACCGCACTAAATTTAGACCCAGGCGCCCTCCGAAGAAGAAGAATTCTTTGTGCGAGAGATCTGCCCGCCGCCAGCCCGCCCCGGGCCCACCCCCCTTCAGTGCAAATGATGTCTGGTGCAGCATGCTTTGCCGGCTTTCGCTTTCTTGACAACGGCTGCAGCTGGTATGAGACCAACCACTTAGGAGGCTGCCTTCGCCTTTCCTCTCCTCGGCCACAGTGCAGCGCGGCCGCGGACACCAACACTCAGAGGCACCTCCGACAGGCGGAAGGCCGGAGCACGCCAGAGCACACACTTGCAGTTCTGATGCCGTACCGCGGCGCTGGGCGAGTGGGTGATCTTCACAGTCTATGCTCGCGACTACCCGCCCACCTTGAGGCGATCGGCGTCCAGTACCGCCTCTTCCTCCTCAACCAAGTCGACGCGCTCCCCTTCAACCGCGGCGCACTTGTCAACGCGGCGGTGCGGCTGATGGGCGAGACAGACGGACTGGTCTTGCAGCGCAGCGGGATGCCGCCACCGGTGTTTGACTACCTTGCCATTCACGACATCGATCGTTTCCCCGTGCGGAATGGCAGAGGCGGCAGAGTAGCCTGTGACAACGCAACCGCTGAGTATTACTCGTTTCCCCATCCCTCGCCGCGGGTGCTGCACCCGTCGAGCTTCGCCGGCGGCGTGCTGGTCCTGCAGCGCGCCCACTTCGAGGCGGTCAACGGCTTCTCAAACGAGTACTGGGGGTGGGGCGAGGAGGACAACGACCTCTTCCTGAGGTTGCGCTGGTGCGGCTGGGCACCTCGCCATGGCCAGCAGCTCGAGTCGTGCATGGAGCACCGCGACTGCCGCCTCTGCGCTCGGCAGAAACGGGCCGTCGACCCACGCCGCCTCCAGCTACACAGGGAGCGCGTGGGAGCGCAGCTGGCGCGACCATCGCGGCACATGGATGCCGCATTCGACGGCCTGCACACAGCCAACTTCACTGCGCTGCGGCGGACAACCCGCCGGTGCGGCGTCGGAGAGAGCGTGCACGTGATCGACGTCGCTCTTGAACGCGCCGATGAGATTGTATAGCCGCCATGTCAATACGAACTTTTTATGTATGTAAAAAGGGAGTGCAGTCGAGGAGGGGGGGGGGGGGGGGTGCGCGAAGTCCGAAGACTGTACGCTGCACACCCCGAGGCCCCGAGCTCTGAGACCGAGTCACAAACGAACAAGGGGAGTCAGTGTAGACCTCCGCGCAGACCCAGAGAATCCCTCCAGTACGTTCCCTCCCTCGCCCCCCCCCACCCCCCACCCCAAACCGCCCGGTCGCCACTGTGCACTGCGTCCTTTTTGCGCGCGGCTAGGCCGCCTCCGCCTTGGCCCTCGCCGCGGCCGCTGACGCGCGCCTCGCCTTGGCGGAAGCGACCGCCGCCTCTGCCGCCACCGCTGCTGCCGCTGCTGCATCCGCCGCTGCTGCCGCCTGCGCCGTCGCAACGGCCGCCTCCTCCTCCGCTGCCGCGGCGGCCGCCTCCTCCTCTGCCGCTGCCAGAGCGTCGGCCTCGGCTTCCGCCTCCCGGCGCGCCTCCGCTGCCACCATTGCTGCCTCCTCACCCGCCTCCGTCGCCTCCTCCTCGCTCGCTTCGCCCGCCGCCTCGGCCTCCTCTCCCAACGCCTCCGCCAACCCCGCGACCGACGTCTCCGCCGTGATGCCGTACCGAATCCGCTCCTCGTGGAGCGTCTCGAGAAGCCTGATCAACCCTTCCCTGTCCAGCTTCGCGGGCTTGGCTGCGTCTGCCTCTGACGCCGCCTCGTGCTCCTGCGACGGCCCAGCGCCACCGCTCCCGCCGCCCTTCTTCTTCTTCTTCTTGCCCTTCTTGCCCTTGCCGCGCTTCTCCGCCTCGACCTCCGCCAGCAGCTCCTCGGCGTGCCGCGCCGCCTCCGCCTCCGCCGCCGCCCGCTCCGCTGCCCTCTCCACCGCCCCCGCAGCCCACGCCGCCTCCTTCGCCGCCTTCTCGGCCGCCGCCTCGGCCGCCCTCTGGGCCGCCGCATGCTCCTCAAGGGCGCGCACGCACTCGGCGCTGCCCTCCTCCTTGGCAATCTGCAGCGCTGTGTCGCCAGCCGCCGAGCGCAGTTCCGTGTCGGCGCCCGCCCGCAGCAGGCAGTGGAGAGCGGCGGGGTGGTTCTGATGGGCGGCCCACATCAGCGCGGTGAGGCCGTTGTTGTCCTGCTGGTTGATCTCCGCGCCGTGAAGCAGCAGCAGCTCGGCCACCCGTTCGCGGTCCTTGAAAGCGGCGAACGTCAGTGCGGTGAAGCCGTCGCTGTTCTGAAGGTCGACCGAAGCGCCACGCTGCAGCAGCGCCGCGGCCAGCCACTCGTGGACGTGGAGGGCGGCAACCATCAGCAGCGCATAGCCGCTCACACCCTCATGAGTGAAAGCCGCGTCCACCCGCCCGCCGCCGTCGAGCCACGCCAGCAATGCCGCCTCGCCGCCTTGCCAAGCCGCCTCCACGACCTCCTCGGGGACGGCGTCCTCGCCCGTTCCGCTCTCCACGCCGCCGGAAGAGGACGCGGCAGTTGGTGCCGCCGCCGCCGCCCCCTTGCCCGAGGCGGCATCGCCGTCCGCCCCCGCGCCGCCCGCCTCGCCGATCTCCTCGGGAACAGGCCCGCTGCTGCCGCCCGAAGCGCTGCATGCCCCCGCGCCGCCTGCCTCGACCGCCGCCGCCTCGCGCCTCTCCGCCGCCACCTCGCCGAGAAACGTCTTGACAGCGGCGATGCACTCGGTGTGACCCTCGTCTTTGGCGATCTGCAGCGCTGTCTTGCCGTCCGCAGTGCGCAGCGCCATGTCTGCTCCCGCGCGTAGCAGGCGGAGCACGACATCAGAATGGCCATTGAGGGCGGCGCTCGCGAGCGCAGTGCATCCGTTGATGTTCCGAACGTTGATCTCCGCGCCGTGCTGCAGCAGCAGCTCGACCACCCGCTTGTAGCCTTGGTAGGCAGCGAGCATCAGCGCGGTGCAGCCGCCGCTCTCCTGCAGGTTGACCTCTGCGCCGTGCCGCAGAAGCTGCTCGACCACGCGCTCGTGGCCTTGGGCGGCGGCGAACATCAGCGCGGTGCGGCCGTCACTGCTATGCAAGTTGATCTCCACACCATGCCGCAGCAGCAGCTCGACCACCCGCGCCTGGCCTTGGTCGGCGGCCAGCATCAGCGCGGTGCAGCCGCCGCTCTCCTGCAGGTTGACCTCTGCGCCGTGCTTCAGCAGCGTCTCGACCACCCGCACGTGGCCGTTGACGGCGGCGGCAGTCAGCGCCGTCGCGCCGTTGCTGTTTAGCGCGTCCGGCTTCGCGCCCCGCTTCAGCAGAACCTCGACCAGCTGCTTGTGACCGTGTCCGGCGGCGATCAGCAGGAGCGTACAGCCACTCACACCGCGATACACGCACGTCGCGTCAACCCGCCCATCCCCGACGAGCCACGTCTGCACCACGCCCGCCTTGCCGTTCGCCGCCGCGGTCTCGATCTTTTTCGGCAGCGCGAGCGACGCAGCCTGTGACGCGGTCCCGGCTGAGCCAGCCTTCGATCGGCCTGGCATCCGACAACCCTGTGAAGCGCGCCAAGACAGAAGAGAGATCTCTACAGTGAGCTGGGTAGTGCGTTTACGTGAGCAGCACAAAAAGGGGACCGAAAACAACAAAAAGGCCCCCCCCCCCCGGGGGGGGGGCGGCACGCTCTGCGAGCTGTGCCTGTGGCGCGCGTGAGCGTGTGGAGACAGACACCGCAGCATGCAGGACGAAAATCGAAATGGGGTCGAGAGGTGCAGCACGCCTCCCGCTCCCCCCAGCACCCCCACGGCCAGTGTATACACGCTAGGTGTGTATACGCCGAGCGCAAAGTTTTAACACGACACGGTAGCTCTCTCACTGACAACGAGAGATGCTATACGAAACAACTGAGGTGAGCCGCGAAGCATATACACACGTGACGACGCACGTGGGGGGTTTTGACTTTTGTTCGCACAGCCCGCGGAGAGCTACTCCAACTCTGTCAGGGTGGAAGGGATCCCGAGGGGAGATACGGCCTCCGCGCGAGTCCACGGTGGGGCGCTACCTCGGCCATCTACGACCCTGAGCCAGCGGAGAAGGCCATTGACCTCGCCGGCCGCCTCCTGCCCCCTCGCCGCCTCCCCCGCCGCAGCCGCCTCCCCCGCCTCCCGCGCCGCAGCAGCCTCCTGCCCCCTCGCCGCCTCCCCCGCCTCCCGCGCCGCAGCAGCCTCCTGCCCCCTCGCCGCCTCCCCCGCCTCCCGCGCCGCAGCAGCAAGCTGTCCTCTCCAATCTCGATGAAGGCGGCCAATTCGAGCGGCCTTGCGGAACATTGTAACCCGAGCTTCATTGGACCCGAACCCTGGACAATGTCCACCGTTGCGGGCACGCCGCCTTCGCCGTTCGCGGAGGGCGGCGGCGACGTCCCTGCAAGCATTCGGAAGGCCGCCACGGATGGCCAAGTGGGAGCGGTGCTGTCGTGGTTTGACGGCGGCGGGTGGGTGGACGTGACGTTCGAGCACACCTATGGTGACGGCTCTCGTGAGAGCGGCGTGACGTTTCTGATGGTCGCGATGGCCAATGGCCACGCGGAGCTGGCCGAGGCACTTCTGCGGCGCGGCGCGGATGTCTCTTTGCAGACCAGCGATGGCAGCTGCTATGCGCTGGGTCTCGCCGCCGTGAACGGCCACAAGAAGCTGGTCGAGCTGTCATTGCGGCACGGCGCGGAGGTCGACCAGCCAAACAGGGTTGGCAACACTGCGCTGATGCAGGCCGCCTACAAAGGCTACGAGCGGGTGGTCGACACGCTGATCCGGCACGGCACAGAGATCAACCTGCAGGCCAACAACGGCGACACCGCTCTGATGTTCGCCGCCCTCGGCAACCATCCCGCCGTGGTGCTCCGCTTGTTGCGGGCGGGCGCAGACATGAAGCTGCGCACGTTGGTCGGTGCGACAGCGCTGCAGATTGCCAAGGAGAAGGGCCACACCGAGTGCTACGAGGCCTTCAGGACGTATCTCGGGGAGGTGGCGGGCCGGCGCGAGGCGGCGTCGGCCGAGGCGGGCGGCGCAGGGGCGGGAGACGCACCCGCAGGCGCGGCGGCGGCGGGCGCCAGTGCTGCGGCCTCTGCTTTGAGCGGCGAGGGCGGCGCAGAGACCGCGCCGGGCAGCGAGACGGTGCCAGAGGAGGTCGTGCTAGCGGCTCGGCGAGGCGAGGAGGCGGCGGTGCTGGAGTGGCTCGACGGCGGCGGGCGGGTCGACGCGACCTTTGAGTACACCTTTGAGAGCGGCTCTCGTGCGAGCGGCATGACGCTGCTGATGCTCGCAATGGCCTATGGCCACGAGGGGCTGGCCGAGGCGCTTCTCCAGCGCGGCGCGGATGTCTCGTTGCCGACCAGCAACGGCAGTACCGTGTTGGGTCTTGCCGCCACGAACGGCTACGAGAAGCTGGTCGAGCTGGCACTGCGGCACGGCGCAGAGATCAATCAGCGAAACAAGGTTGGCAGCACAGCGCTGATCGAGGCCGCCGATGGAGGCCACGAGCGGGTTGTAGACATGCTGATCCGGTACGGCGCAGAGATCGACTTCCAGGACAATGACGGCGACACCGCCCTGATTCTCGCCGCCGTCAACGGCCATCCCGCCGTGATGCTTCGCTTGCTGCGGGCGGGCGCAGACATGACGCTGCGTTCTAGCGGCATGACGGCGCTGCAGTACGCCAAGGCGAAGGGCCACGCCGAGTGCGTGCGCGCCCTCGAGGAGCACGCGGCGGCCAAGGCGGCGGCCGAGAAGGCGGCGAAGGAGGCGGCGTGGGCTGCGGGGGCGGCGGAGAGGGCGGCGCGGAGGGCGGCGGAGGAGAAGGAGGCGGCGCGGCACGCTGACGAGCTACTGGCGGAGGTCGAAGCGGAGAAGCGCGCCAAGGGCAAGAAGGGCAAGAAGAAGAAAAAGGGCGGCGGGAGCGGCGCGGCTGGGCCGTCGCAGGAGTCCGAGGCGCCGGCGGAGGGTGATGAGGCGCCGTTGGAGGCGAACGCAGCCGAGGCTGCGAAGAAGGCCGAGGAGGAGAGAATGATCAGGCTTCTCGAGAAGTGTCACGAGGAGAGGATCCGGTTCGGCATCACGGCGGAGAGCCAGGCAGCGGCGTCGGCAGAGGTGGCCGAGGCGGTGCGCTTGGACGCGGAGGCGGACGAGGCGGAGGAGGAGGCGGAGGCGGACGAGGAGGCGGCGGCGGCGGCAGAGGCGGCTCGGGCGGCGGCGGCGCAGGCGCAGGCGGAGATCGTCGCAGCGCTGGAGAAGGCCAACGCGGCGCTCGCGGACGCGACGGCCGCTGCAGAGGCGAGCGCTGCTGTTGCGGCTGCTTCGAAGGCCAAGGCGACCGCTGCCAGGATGGCCGCGGATGCAGCCGAGCAGCAGCGCTCGTGACGTGAGAGCTGCTCGGGTGGCTCTCGGGATAGTATCCCGTGGATCACGATCTGTCCGCCACGTGGCTAGACTGAGTGAGAGTTAAGGACAGACTGTACGTCGCACGTGAGAGCTGCTCGTACAGCCACCATGACAGCCACTATTTCTTTAGCGCCGGGGTCGCAGCGAGAGAGGGCGCGCGCGAGGAGCTCCGTGGGGAGGTCGAGGAGAGGCGGGCGGGCGGCGGCGTGTTCGGCGAGGGAGCAGCGGCGGTGGTGGAGGCGGCGAGGCGCAGGCGGCGCGGCGGCGAAGACACATTTTGGCCTCGAGAGAAGATCGCCGGAGTGTACATGAAGAATCAATTTTTTGGGCGGGCAATCGCACTTCGCAGGAAGAAGTAACTTCGCGCATCAAAGAATTCTTGGAGGTCCACCTTCAAGCCCTGATACATGAAAAACGCGTGCCGCGCCATGTGGCCCCACCTTTCCTCTCTCCTCCTCTCGAGGGGCCGTGCCGCTCCTCTCCACCAAGCACCATGATATATGTTGCTCCTCGCCCCGTCATCGTCACCACGACGTGTCAGCTGCGGACGGGCGTCGCCCACGACCTCGTGCGCCCGCTCTCCAACGTCGCCGAGATCCCTGCCTCGCCTGCCAGGAGCAGCGTCGAGCTCCTCGCTGGGCAGGTGCACGGGTAGAGCTCTCCACCATCCTCTGCCGCGATCCCGGCTGCTGCGAGCACGGCGCCGCCCGGTGCGCGCGACATGACCCCTGCCGTTCCCGCGCGCGCAGGTCGCCGAGGAGGATGTGGAGTGCCAACGCGAAAGCACGACATATGAGCGCGCGCCCGCCCCCGCCATGCAACCCCGCCCCTTCCCGACGTCGATTTCGTCGCCGGCCGTGCGCGCGCCGCCGTTCACGCCGCCGCCGCCGTCGCCCCCACTTCCGCCGCCCCCTTTTTGCGCCTCGCCGCCGCCGCCGTTCTCCTTCTCCACGCCGCGAGCGCGTCCTTCAGTCGCGCGCGCGCGCGGCTCGCCTGCGTCGCCGCCGCCCCCCTTCTCGCCGCCGCTCCCCTCACAGCCCCGTACAAGGGTGCCGCCGTCGGCGCCACAGCCCTCGCTTGCTCAAACGGTGACCCTTCCCTGCGTATTGCCCCTCCCTTCTTAGAACCAAATCCTTCCCCCCCCCCCCCCCTCCCCCCTCCCCGAATCACAGGTGCCATCGCCTCGTTAGTCGTTTCCGTCGGATGAATTATCACTAAGGGCACCCCTGAACCTTCGCGGCAGCCGCGGCAGCGCATTCTGCGCGATCGCTTCATTTGTGCGGCGGCGACAAATCCAATCCATGTACGCCGCCAGTTCCACGTAGACGCCCGGGGTGGGGGGCCTCCGCATCCCTTGCCCAAGGATACGAGACGCTAGGTCGGTCGGAATCCCCCAAAACAATTAAATTCCCTCTCGAGCGGAGAGGTTTTGGGATTCGACTCCCGCGCAATCAAGTCATCAACGATGGTGCCAACGGCCAAAAAAGCGCCGGTAGCAAGCACGATGGAGGTGCGTCTTTCCCATGCTCGCGCGCCCCCCGCGCGCGAACTATGCATGGGCCCGGCTCGCCCGCTTGGGGATCCACCCGGCACACCCCCGCCCCCCACCTGCCGGCTTACCTGCCGTCAGTTCGCGCGGGATCGCCCACAACTGTCAGCAACTGAAATCCAGTTGCTTCAGCTGTGACTTCAGCCTCGCCTCACAGCTCTCCCTTCGGTCGCACGCCTCCGGAGAGAGGTCGCACACGACGCTGGTGACCATTCCCGACGAGCCATGCGCAGGTCGCGACCCCTGAGGACCTCCACACCTCCAAGGAGAAGCTCCGCGGCATCGGCGAGGCGACCGCTCTCTTTTCAGAACCTGCTAGGGCAGAGGCCCTGTCCACCCTGGCGTCCCTCGAGGGGTCGCCAGGGCCCGCCGCGGCCCTGGCGAGGCCCGTGGGCGGCCTGCTCCTCATCGACGCCTACGCCCTCGTCGGCCTGGCCGGCAAATATGCCAGCGGCGGGGGCGGCGCCGGCGATGCGGGTCTCATCTTTACCAGGTGGGTCGAGGCGATGGCCGGGCACGAGTCGCTCGCGCCGACGCGGGCGCTCCCGGCGCTGGCCACGCCGGAGACCAAGGCGAACTTCGTGAAGTACAAGCGCCGGATGACCGCGTACAAGGCGGACGTGGAGCGCGCGCTTAAGCGGCGCTCGACGGCCGTTTCTCGCCGGAAGGACCCGGCGGAGGCCGACCGCGAACTCGACCAACTCGTGCGGCAGGCGCACGTTCCTCTCCAGACCCTTTCGGACGCGGCCGACACGGGCGGCGGCGGCGGCGACGGCGGCGGCGGCGCGTCCTCGCTCGATGCCGAGCTCGACGTGACGGCGCAGCTGCGCGCGTTTGCCGAGGGTTTGCACCCGCGCCTCGGCGCCGACAGCGCCGTCCACCTCTTGGAGGGCTGCCGCGACGTCCTCGGCTTGATCGCCGCCGAGGTGCGCGGCGCGCCTCCGCCGCGTGGGCGCGGCACGTCGCAGCTCCGGCAGGTGTCGCTGCTCCTCAACTATGAGCGGCGGCGGCGGCAGCTGAGCGAGGCGCTCGCCGACGAGCGGCGTGTCGAGCTCGAGCTGGCGGCGCGCCGCCAGCAGGCCGCCGTCGACGCCGCGCTCGCCGACGAGCGGCGGCGCTCCGCTGCGGCGTACGCGAAGCTCGACGCAGCGCTGCAGGCGGAGCGGCAGGAGACTGGGCGGCTCTGCACGGAGGTGCGGCGGCTCAAGGCGGCGGCGCGCGAGGCCGAGACTGCGGCGGAGCTGCGGTGCCGCAGCCAGGAGAAGGAGGCCGCGGCGCACTTTGGCTCCATCGCCTCAGAGGCCGAGCGGCGCGCCAAGGTCGCCGAGGCGCAGCGGGACGACGCGTGTGAGGAGGCGGCGCAGCTGCACGGCCTCTTCGCGCAGCTAGAGGACCAGCTCGACGCGCTGCGCTCGATGCGCGTCTCGGGGCTGCTCGAGCAGCTGCAGGCGAGCACGCGGCGCATCACCGAGCTCAGTGCGCGGCGCAAGGTGACGCAGCGCAAGCTCTCCGACGTGAACCTCGTCGAGCGCAACCTGGCGGTGTCGCAGCGGCTGCTCTCGGAGGAGCGGGCGGCCCGCGCGAGCTTGTGGCGCGGAGACGCGACGGCAGAGAAGCTGGAGGCGGTGGAGGCGCAGTGCGCCAAGCTGCAGGCCGAGCTTGAGGCGGCGCAGGCCGAGGCCGCTAAGTTCAAGGCCATCGCCGAGCCCACCAAGGCGCGCTTCAAGCTGGGCAACCACTTCAACGCCGAGACGGAGCTCGCGTGCATCTCGGTGATGCACCTCGGCATCGCGCGGCAGAAGATCCCGAAGCTGTTCCCGATCTTCGCGCGGCTCTTGGGGGTCAAGCTGCCGTACCGCGAGATCAAGGTCCCCGGCCCGATCGTGGACGGCAAGCGCACCTCCGTCGTCAAGCGGCTGCCAGAGACGCCGCAGGCGACGCACTGCAAGGAGCTGGCGGGCGTCTCCTACGAGCTCAACAAGCTCCAGATCGGCCAGTGGCTGCTGGAGTTCATGAACTCGGATGAGTCCTCGTGCTGCTACATCGCCGACGGCGCCGAGGCGCAGCAGATGGAGCGCATCGGCACCGTCCTCTCGCGGCGCGTCAACGGCAAACTCGAGCTGCGCGCCCTCGATTTGTCGACGGCCTCGAGCAAGACCGCCGAGGCGCAGGCGTCGGCGTACCACGAGTCGATCGAGGAGGTCATCAAGCTCATGGAGGAGGCCGGCCTCGCGGATGCGCGCGCGGCGGAGCTGCTGCGCCGCTTCCTCCCCACGTGCGCGTGCAACGACCGGGCGTCTACGGCGCGGCTCGCTGCGCGGCTGGTCCTCGGGCTGGGCGAGGGCGACGACGACCCGACCTGTGCGGAGCACGCGCTCGTCAACATCCTCGAGGAGGGGCGCAAGGCGATGGACGCCATCCTGCGCGAGCTGATGAACTTCACCGACGAGCAGGCCGCGGCGCACGCCGACAAGATCAAGGCGATGCGGACCTGCGTCGGCTGGTTCAGCTCGCCTGTCTGCGCGCTCATCTACCAGGCACCGTCAGCCCCGACCCCGCACCGCAGATCACTCCCACTCGCGCGCCAATCCCGCACCCCCCCGCGCCGCACGCGTAGGTGAGCAAGTACGTCGCGCTCTGCTCGACCAAGGGCTACGCCATCGGCCGCAAGTTGCAGGAGTGGATGGAGGCGCGGCTGGCAGACCTCGAGGAGCAGCTCGAGCATCTCGTGGGGCACGTGGAGGACGTGCTCGCGATCTGCGGCTCGCGCGCGTACGTCTTCTACCTCGACGCGGCGCCGACGGAGCGGCTGCTCACTGAGCACGACATCTCCATGCTGACCTACCTCGACGAGGATGAGATGCTCAAGGCTGCCGGCGGCGGCAAGCTGCGCAAGTCTATCCTCACCGGCGCGCGCTCGCCGCCCTGCATGGCGGGGGTGCGCGCCATGGCGCTGATCTGCGACGCGGTGTTTTGGCCGCTGATCCGCGCGGTCAAGCCAGCCGCGGACAAGCACGTCCTCGACGTGCTCCCGCGCGTGTGGCCGGCGGCGCACGCGTTTTTTGAGGCGGCCGCCGCGTCGCCCGCGGGCATCGTCGACGGCTCGCTCAAGCTGCAGCTCGGCGACGTTTCGGCGGCCGCCACCGCCGCTACCGCGCCAACTCCAACGCAGGCGCGCCGCGCCGAGCGCCATCGCCTCGATATGGTGCGCATTCGCGCCGCAGCGGCCGACGACCCGATGGTGACGCGCTTGCTGACGGCGGCATTCGGCGCGATGTCCCGGGCGGTCTGCAACCACGCTGCGGAGTGGATGCCGGCGGGCCTCGTCGCCACGAACGGCTCGATCACCAAGACCGGCAAGCTGTGCTCGGCGAACATCACCCCGGCGCTGCGCGCAAAGTACGACGCGCTGCAGGCGACGAGCACGCCGGTTGAGCGGCTGCACGCCGTCGGCCGCGTCAGCGACGACCGGCACAAGCGGCAGCGCAATGAGTCGCGCGCCGGCGACTCGCTCGGGCGTTATAACAACCAAGCCGGCTGGCTGACGGGCGAGATCGATGAGCGCGGCGGGCTCAAGGTCGCCGAGACCATGCTTGCGGCGTGCCGAAAGGCGGCGGGGCGGGCGAGACGCGTTACGCTCAAGGCGCAGCTGGTCGCGGCGGGCCGCGCAAAGCGCGCCGAGCGCGACGAGAAGCTGGGCAGCAAGAAGGCGCGCAAGGCGGCCAAGGCGGCCGAGAACGCGCGCATCGCGCAGCTGCCGCTCGTGCGGCGCTACTCAGAGCTGAAGAAGCTGGCGATCGCCGGCTTGCAGGCGCTTCTCGGACGCTGCTGAGCGGTATACTAGTGCCCCACTACTCACGGCTCTCGTTTGTTGTAGGACCAGCTCAAGGCCTTCAAGCTGGCGGGGAAGACGGGCTTCACCGTCACGCAGGCAAACCGCGCGGACTATTGCACGCAGCTGCAGAACCTCCTCTTCGCCGCGCATGGCGTCGAGGCGAACGACCTCGAGGACGGCGACTCGGGGTGCGACGGCGACGGCGTGGTGCGGAAGGTGCGGCAGCGGCGGGTGGCGGGCGAAGAGGGCGGCGGCGGCGGCGGCGGCGGCGGCGGCGGGAAGAAGAAGAAGAGGAAGAGGGTCGATCTGCGTGAGCTCAACGGCTGGCAGTGGGAGGCGAGTGAGAAGTTTGACATCGAGCGCATTCTCGACAGCAAGGTGGAGACGGTCGGCAAGGTGCTTGCGCCCTCACACTCGCACCTGCCCTTGCTTATTGCCACTCCATCGCTCACGTGCCCGACCACCTCTCTTCTCGCCTCACAGGGCAAGAAGCGGGTCGAGATGACGTACTACTTGATCCTCTGGAAGGGGTACCCGCCCGACGTCTCGACGTGGGAGCCAGAGTCACAGATCCATGACGACTTGATCGACGCGTACGAGGCGGAGCTCGATGCGGCGTCTGAGCTGGAGGCGGAGGAGGCGGAGGAGGGCGAGGAGGGCGAGGAGGAGTGACTAGCGCGCGTCCTCCGCCCCCGTGCGCGTGTGTTGAGGTGGTGCGAGAGCCATTTGCGTGCGTGAGCGGTGCGGCCGGGTGTGTGAATGTGAACCGTGGGCCACTTGTGTTGAGGGATGGCAACCCATGTGGGTGCCTATGTGTTTCTTTCGAGCTAACGCACCTTGTTTTGCAGTTTCTATGCCGTGCTATTCACTTCCAAAAATCGACCCCCGGGACCCCGACCGACCTACGAGACCGACTAATTTCGGGGCGAGATCGGACGAAGAGAGCCGACTGCCGGAATTGCAATCACCCAGAATCGTCGAAGCGGGGCCTAACGTTAGCTACTGTTGAGACGACAGTGACACACGCGACACGGCCCCCGCCGGTCCGCGAGACTCTCCGACCCCCCGCGCGACGGTATCCCCACTTTCGAGACAGCAGACGCACATACTGGCAACAGCTCACGTCGCGGCGGGGAGTCGTGCTCCTACTGGCCTCCGCCGGTTGTTTGACGGTTCCCGTCCGGAAAGGGTCAGTAGCTCGAAGCGCCGCCGCCGCCACCGCAACCAGCCCGCGGGTCCCAAGCGCGACCAGCGCCCCAGCCGCCACCGCCGCCTGGCTGCTGGCCCCACCTTTGCTGCTGGCCCCCACCGTAGCCTCCCTTTCCTTGGCCATAGCCTCCGCGCCGGTCCCAAACCGGGCCGCCCCCACGACGCCCATCAAGTCGGTCGTGGGGCGTGTGGCCCTGCCGGCCACCGCTGCCTCCGCCACCTCTGCCTCCTCCAGCCCCTCCACCACCGTCCCACAACGGGATGCGGCCCGATCGGCCGTCGGTGGTGTACCACGTGTGCTCCTGGTCCTCGATCCGCACCCCCTCCTCGCGCATCCGCAGCCTACGCCATGAACACACCGAGGTCAGGGCGGGAATGCGTCATGAATACACCGACATCAGGGCGGGAACAGGTGTTGTGCTGAGCATGCAGAGCACCGCACGGATACGAGGGAGGCGAAGACGGGGGAAGACGGCGGAAGACGGGCGAATACAGCGGAATGCGTGTCCTCTCGCGTGCTAGTTGCAGTACAAGAACACGTCTTCCGCTACTCTAGGATCCGCCGCCGAATCTGGTCCGCGAGCTCGAAGTCGCGCTCCTTCCTCGCTCGCTCGCGGTCCGTCACCATCCCCTCGATGTCGCTGGTCGCTAGCGTGCAGGGGGGGTTGGCGCGTCCAGTGCCACCACTGCTGGTGGCGCGCCACTCCCCCTCACGGCGCGACGAGGGGCATTCGCGCGGCGCGTATCCCTCGCGTCGACCGCCTGATGCACTGAGAACCAAGTGTCAGCCGTCAGGTTGCCACATGTACATGTACATGTGCATGCGCATGTCCGGGCCGAGGCACGCGTTGGACCACAAGGCGAGGTTGGGTGGGGTGAACGGTCAGGTCTGCCGCGAGGGATGGATAGCAGTGCGTGTTTGTGCGCGTGTGCGCGTGTGCGTTTGGCCCGCCTCCTCCATCGGCGACATGCCCCCCGCGGCCCGGCGCGGCATGGCTAGGCACATGCTCTTGCGGCTGAGAGGCGGCGGCGGCGGCGCCGCCGCCGCGTGGATGGTGGGGCTGCTCTCGCCTATTCTCAGCACGAGTGCGTAACGAGCGCCAGATCCAACCCCTCTGCTTCGAACGCTGGTCGTTTTGCGGCTGCCGCTGCTGCGGCTGCTCGTGCACCATGCGCGCCGCCGGCGCAGCCGCGCGCTGCACTGCGGCGGCCGGTGGCTGCCGCTGCTGCTCGTGCATCATGCGCGCCTGTAGGCCATTGGGGAAACTCTGAGAGAGGATGCGGCAGGGGCGATGCGAGTGCGGTACGAGTACAACTATTCCGCTGCATGCGGCGGGATACAGTGGAGTACGTGTCCTCGCGCGAGGCTCGCTGGAATACAAAGGTAGGAGTGTACTCCGCTTCTAGGCCTCGGATCGCGCGAGGGCTCGCTGGAATACAAAGGTCGGAGTATACTCCGCTTCTAGGAGAGACACGGGGAGATGCGGGGGGGGGGGGGGGGGGGATCTGGGGAGATATTCAGCTTCTAGGAGCGGCGCGCCATCTGCATGTCCCCTTGCATTTGCATCTGCACGTGGTGCTGCATGTGCTGCTGCTGCTGCTGCTGCATCGTGGATGGCTCCACACCCGCGCCGAAGCTGCAGCCGCCGCCCTGCATCCCGCCCCCGCTCATCCCGCCTCCGCTCTGCATCCCCTGCATCATCTCCAGCATGTCGGTGTGTAGTTTGGTCATCCCCCCCCCAACGCCCATTGACGAGTCGCAACAGCCAGCGCCACCGCCCATCCCGCAAGCAAAGCCACCGCCCATCCCGCCGGGCGCGTAGCTCATGTGGCCCATCGTGCCGCCGCCGTTGCCCATGCCTACGATCAATCAATCAATCGGACTCGATTTGGGATGGTGCACCTCGACGGGATGGAGTGCCGCCGCTGTTGCCAATGCCCGGGACCCCGAAGCCTTGGTTGGCCATCATGTTCATGTCCGCATTGATGCCTCCGCCCATGCCTCCGCCCATGCCTCCGGAGTTGAAGCCGCCGCAGAAGCCGCCTGCCGCGGCCTGCGGGGCTCGGAAGTTGGGCGGAACGCTCTTTTGCCCCTGCAGCTCCGTAAACTCCACCATCTTCTTTGCGATGCCTTCGGCGCAGCGCTCGCAATTGTCGCGCGAGATGTGCGACGTGACGAACACCTTGCGCAACGGCGCCTCCCCCAATGGCTCCTTCTCGATCTGGATCTTGCAATTGTGTGTGTCCTGCAGCTTCTCGATCACGACGCCCTTCTTCCCAATCAGAAAGGACGCCGCCTGCTGGATGTTTGGAATCTCGATGACGAGCGTGTTTCCCTCCCAATAGGCGCCGTCCCCGCCCACCGCCCCACCGTAGTGGCCGTTGCTGCCGTCTGCGCCCACGTCGTGCAAGGCGGGCCCGCAAGCAAACGGCTGCTGCCGCTGCTGCTGCTGCTGCTGCTGCTGCATGGCCTGCTGCTGCTGCTGCTGCTGCTGCAGCAGCAGGGCGGTGAGCTCGCGCTCCTGCCCTGCCGTGTAGCGACGCACGCGTTCCGTCTCAGCAGCGACCTCTGAGAGGCGCGCGTGCGAATGCGCCAGCAGCCGATTGACGCGTGAGTGGCGCTCCTCGGGGCCTAGAGCCTCGCGGCGGCCCGGCGGGGGCGAGAGAAGCACGCAGAGTCGCTCGCGCTGCTCGGCCAACGCCGCGGCGTGATACTCCAGCAGCTGCGCCTGAGGGGCGAAGGGCTGGCTCAATGGGCGGCGAACGGGGACTCCTCGCCGTCCGGGGGGGCGCCCGCACCAAGCGCTTCTCGGCGCGGCGGCGGACGACCTGCGTGATGAATGCGCCGAGGTCAGGGTGGGAGTACGTCATGAATGCACCGAGGTCAGGGGGGAATAGACGGTCTGGCGCCGTGTGCAGAGCACGCGTGAATATGTGGGCTACACATGCAAGGAATGCCGCGGAATACGGCGGAGGACAGCGGTCGTCCTACGACAGCTGTGAACAGCGTCTCTTCACACCTCTCTCTCTGGCTGTGAACAGGTGGAGGACAGCGGAGGGCGCCTCCTCTCGAAGAGGAGGCGCCCCTACCCACACTGGAGCCGAACCCTGGGGAGATTGCAATCTCGGGCGTGTCCTCTCGAGCGCGAGTCGGAGTACAAAGAACGCGTCTGCCGCTTCTACGCCGGACGGGCCTTGAGCGCAACCTCCAAGTCGCCGTCGGCCGAAGCGAGTGCATCGCGCACGGTCGGCTCGGGCGCACCCAGCGCCAACTCGCCAAGCGCCCTCGCCTTGCCGCAGACGCCCGTCGGCGAAGCCCCCGGCGGCGCACCGCACGAGCCCACGCCGAGCGGCGGGCCGTATTCGCTCAACTCCGCCTCGAGGCCCGACAGGTCGTGCTCGTCTGCTGGCGGCGGCTCGGCCTCGGCGTTGACTTTGGCGTCGGCCCGAGGCGCCGCGTTGGTCGCCGTCGCAGACTGCGCCTCGTCCTCGGCCTCTGAGCAGGGAGCGCTGCTCCTCGTCCGCTTGTCGCCCTTCGCCACAGCCTCCGCCGACGCTCCGCGCTTGGTTGCCACGCGCCCGCCGCCCTCTCTCGGCGGCGGGGGAGGCTTGGCCAGTCGTTCCACCGCCAGCATAGCGAGGGACGCGCGCTGGCCGTCGGCGCGCGTGCCGACGCTCCTCCCATCGAGGACCGCCTCGGCGGCGCCGCGGAGAGCGTCCGCCTCGGCCGAACCGCGCAGCAACTGCAGCCCGACCGCCACAACCTCGAGCAGCTGCTCGTGTGAGGCGTGCTGCACGAGCGCCACACCGTCCGCCGCGCCGGCACCAGCGCCTACGTGGCCGTCGGCGACGCAGCGGAGGCAAAAGTGGCCGTCGTCGGGCACCGCCGTGCCGTTGGGAGTCGGATCGGCGGGCCGCTTGATTCGCACGCAGCGGTTGAAGATCTCGGCGTTGCACGCGTCGCATGCGCGCAGGGAGTTGTCTCCGAGCAAGCCGACCACCACGCTCGCCCGGGTGGTCTCAGCGCCGATGACGGCGGAGGCGCAGCGCAGGAGCAGCAGCAGCTCGTCTTCCTCGTGCTGCTCCGAGAGCGCTCCGCCGTCGCGCTCGCGCCCTGCGGCACCGTAGCCTTGGACGCGCCGAACCAGCGAGAGGTACGTCGCATACCGCGAGAGCGGAGCGAGCTGCCTCGCGCGCCACGCCGGCGGCGCCGGCGCGAGCGGCGGGAGCACGGGGGCTTTGTCGATGCGCAGCGCCGCCACCGCGCACGCCGCGTCCAGCCTCAGCCAGTGCAGCAGCGCCGCGGGCGCGCGTGAGCAGCGGACAAAGACGGCGCAGGGCGGCAGCAGCAGCAGATCGCCCTGCTGCTGCACCGTGTGCTGCGACGTGCGCTGGATGCTCCGGAGCGCAGCCGCCGCCTCGGATGCGGTATCGCAGCCTCGGCAGCGCGCTGCAAGTTCGGTGCGCTCGGCGGCGCCGAAAACCTGCCACTCAACCGTGCCCCCGTGCAGCAGCAGGTGGGCGCTCACAGCGCCGCAGCGATCCTCGCCGCAAACGGCATCGCCCGGCGCACAGCCGAGGATGGCAATGCCCTGCTGCTCATCGGTGCCTGGCGGAAGCTGGGAGAGCACGTCGGCCGGATCGCGCCACGCCACGCCAGCTGGGAGCACGCTGCGAAGCAGAGAGGCCGCCGCGGGCGGGCACTGCTGGACCGTCGCTGCGGCATCGAGCGCCTCAGCGCCCTCGACACACACGCCCGTCAGGAGCAGAGGTTCGCCGTCGTGCACGACGTGCGACGCGATTGTAGCGACCAAGGCCTTGCTCGACGATGAGACGCGCCTCATCTCCTTTCTGATGCCCTCCGTCATGGAGACCTGCGGACCGGGGCAGGGGGTCGTGAGGCGGAGACCGGCTGAAGTGGTGGTGGGGGACGGGAAGGGGGGGGGGTTGGGGGGCATCAGCGGGTGAGCGGTGTGCTCCACACGGTGACTGGCTGGGCTTCGAAAAAAGAATTCGCGTATAAACTACCTACCTACCTAACGAACTGCGCTTGGTACTGCGGCGCAGATGCTCCGGCAGCTTCTGCGCACACGAAGCACGGCGCTGCAGTCCCACCAGGTTGGTGGAGATGGACTTGAAGTCGAGCACCTGCCAGTAGGCGCACCGAATGGCCGGCAGGTGGGCGGGCGCTCCAGACGCCACCAGGCGCGGAAGCCCGCGCCAGGTGTGCAGGTGCTTCCAGCGGCGTGCGGCCGGGAGCGAATAGTTCGAGTCGATGATCGCATTGCCGATGACGCGCAGCGTGTAGCCCATCTCGTACAGGTCGCTGAGCATGGCGATGTTGCGCTCGCTCTGCGCGGCCTGCGTGCGATGGGAGCAGCCGCCGGCCGCCGCCATGCGCGCAAGGTCTGCCTCGCGCCGGGTCATCTCCAGTTGGACCGAGAGGACACACCTCTCCGAGAGCAGTCTCCGGGCGCTCGCCAGCGCCTGCGGCTCATATCCCTCCACATCAAGCTTGAGCATGCACACGTCGCGCGTGGCGGAGAGCGACACGCGTAGCTCGTCGTCGATGCGCACGCTCCGTGCGGTCACGTTGTAGTGCCGGAACCTCTGCACGTCGTACCCTTTGATCACGCCGTGCTCGCCCACCATGCCGGTCATGCCGAGCTTCTTCAAGTATGGGAAGCCGATGGGCCGAGGGATGGGCACCGGCAGGGTGTACTCGCCCGGCGAGCTGCTCACCACGTTGCGGTAGATGGTCGCGCGCTCCGCAAACCCATTGTTCAGCAGCAGCCCGATCCTCAGAATCTCGATAAACGCTGGAACTGGCTCGAAGATGCTCACGTGGCAGCCGAGCGCGAGCGAGTACAGCGCGTACCAACCGTAGTTGGCGCCGACGTCGATGACGGTGCCATGTCGCCGGCAGCACTCGCTCGTCAGCTCATGCCACGTCCGCGTGAGCGTCGGCTCCACAATCAGGTGCCTTGCCATGCGGGTCATGTCATCGTCGAGCTCGTCGAAGGCGAAGTAAAACTGCGGGTCGGTTTGGGTGCGCAGCACCTTGATAGAGCGAGGCACGCCCGCGGGGAGCGCGGTCACGGCGATAGCCTCGAGGGGTTGACCCGTCGGCATGCTGGCCTGCACGTCGCGACTGCCTGTGCCTGTGCCTGTGCCATCAAGCTTGAATTTTACCGTTTCCGTAACATGCCACACTTTATGCGGTCAAGCTGTGTTTACTCGAGTAATGTGGTAAGCGTCCATGCACTTGAGCACTTGAGCACTTGATAGGGCTGATTCCGCATGGTCCATGCGAACAGCTACCGCGTCTTGAAGCTGTTTGTTGCTCGCGGCGATGAATGAACTGAGTCGGTCGGTCGTCAGTGTGCAGCGCGCGAGTAAGTAAAGTTGTCGAGCAGAGTGCAGCGTCCGACTCACACAGCCAGTCTAGCAGGCAAGGAGCCACATGCAGGTGAGGGGGCATAGCCATTTCAGCCATTACAGCCATCTACTAAGTACTTATAGCTGGGACACTGACTGAGAGATTGCAGCTTCCATCCTCCAGACAGAGCCACATGGCTGGCTGGTGGTAATTCGATGGCAGCCGATGGCAGCTGTCCCGCGAGGCCGGGGGCGACAGACGCGCAGCCATTTGTGCGTGTGGCGGGGACGGCGGACTGCTGCCATCGATTGTCACCAGCCATGCTCCGGAGAATGGCTGCACTGGCTGTGCCCCAGCCACTTGAGCACTTGAGCACTGGATAGGGTCGATTCCGCGTGGTACGGGACCCCCCCACAGCCATAGTAGATGGCTGGAAACATTGTCGCCCAGCCATCTTACCCAATATTGCTGCGATGTAGCCAGCTTAGCCAAGAGGGCTCACCTCGAGGCGGCGGTATGGCTAGTGCGTCTCCAGCCATGTCTACCAAGGATGGCTGCCCTGCCCTGTGTGTATTGCAGCCATCGGGCTGAAGGCTTCCTATGGCTGCACTGCAGCTAGCTCAGCCATCCTTAGGTAAGATGGCTGTGTAGGAGCGAGCACAGCCATACTGCTTCCACATTCCGAGGTTGGCCACTGTAGGGCCCCAGAAGGCTAGCTGGTAGCTTCATTTGTAGTAGCACAGCCGCCGGTGCTAGAGAGGGGTCCGCAGAGGTGGGGCGCGGGAGGGTTGAGAGAGAGGGACCCATGACCATCCCATGACTACATGGACATGGACCACGCTCACATGTGTCTTTGCATGTAATTTTGTTACACCCTCATGGGGCACAAGAAAGAGGCTCTACGGGGTCTGTGTACGGTCTGTGCTGCTGTCGTCCTAGCCTCCAACAACGCCTCCCCGGCGCAGAGGGCCCCCCCGGAGGGATGCTCAACCGCTCCACGCCACGCCGCTTGCGGCGGTCCTATTCCCAGCTCCGCTGAGGGCCCGCGCACTTGGTTGGAGCACTTGGTCTTGGAGTGCAGTCGGTAACCGCACGCCCAGGACCGGGGACCGCACTTGGAGCACTTGGAGTGCAGTTAGCAGCCTCAAATCCAGGGCCGGGGGGCTAAGAAGCACACCCAGCGGGCCAGATGATCGGGATCGGGTTGCGGGCAAGAGACCGGGCATTTATTTCTTCACTCGACCGTTTCAAAGCTTTCGGCGTGCCTATACAAATATGCCTATGCAGCGCATCGACCCTTTGGATGTGAGCGACATCGACGGCGCGGTGGCGAGGCAACCTGCGAGGCGAAACACGTCCCACCACCCCTTCAATTCGAATGCGGATATCGCTGCCACAACGCCCCAGCCCCGACGCCTCCCGACGAGCCGCTTGACCAATCCACTTGAGCCCGACTACTCGCTGCCGACGTTTGTGCCGGCGCCGGAAACAGAGTCGTCCAAGCCTGCCCGTGACGTCTTGTTCACGCTCGAGCAGCCGCCGCGGCGTGTCTCGGCGACGCGGGACCTGATGGACTGGTCAGACGTGACGCAGGCAGAGAGCAGGCACGGTCGCAAGATTTGAACCGATGACGCCCACCTCGCCTGAGCTCGGTGAGTCTCCGCCCACACAGGTCACGCGAGCTGCTGCGCCGTCCGACGGCAACGCGCAACCTGATGGCGGTGGCAGATATCAACGAAAAGCCAGGACTTGGCATCGGCGGCCGGCCGGTGCGTTGCTCAGATCCTCTCGCCCCTAGCTACCGCGACCTCGACGGTGGCGCATATGGCGCTGTTCCGGCCAAGATCCCCAAGCCCGGCCAAACCTTCCCACGATCGCCCTCCGAAGCGTTTGGGCTGATCACTGCCGATATCAGCGCATCGGGCCCGCGGACGACAGAGTACCCCAAACACCTCATAAAGACGCGCGAGACCAATAAGATTGACGACATCTCCGGCGCTCAAGCGGGCACCATGCCCACCTCTGGGCCCAGGCTCTGGGCCCGAGACCCCGACAACCCCCACAAGCCACCGAGGGACCCGTCCAAGGTATCGACGAGGCCGAGATTGGACGGAGCGGCTTCAGCCAAGCAGAACCCACTGCCACTCTCCGATTCCTCCCACGTTTCCTCCCACGTAGGTGCCCGAAAAGGAAACCAACAGGGTCGTGGACATCGATGGCGCCGTCTCTGGCACCGGGGGAATCAGGGAGACGGCGCTCGCGCCCATGTACAGGAGGCAACATCAAGCCCGGGCCCTGACAAACGCGCCGGCAGCTCGCGCCGCCATTGCTGCGGCGAGACAGACCTCGCAGAGCGCGGAAGCGAAGGCAGTCGATGTTGCAGCCGTGGAGGCGCTGTCGTGAGAACTGAAGCTACCAGCTCCGGGAGGCGCGGCTACCCGGCCATGCCCCCCCCCTTCCCTTGCCAGAGTGATCCGCTGACGCCGCTCGTCTCCCTGCCGGGACGTGTGTTTCGCGATTCGCGTATTCATTTTTGCGTACACGCGTAGCACCAACCAGATGGTGAGGCCGCAACACTCCACGTTGCAACCATGGGCATCCACTACTTGTACAGCGCAGCCCGGCGTTTGCCTCGCCTGGAGTGTGCGCTTCACTCCGGCCAATAAGCAATATTGCCCCTCAAGGGTCTTGGTTGGAGATCTGGGCACTTGGGAAGCTTGGCTGGAGAGTTGTAAAATTCTTTCAGCGCCGGCTCTTGTGGCGAGGACGATGGCTTCTAAGGAAGCCGTCGTCTGCGCCTTGTCTGTCGTGTGAATCGTGCGTGTGCGAGAGCCTTTTGTTGTGAAATTCTTTCAGCGTGATAATAAAAAGAAAACAAAAACCGGATGGCGGCCCACCTTTGACACCTGTGCTGGGGACACGGCCGATCAGCCTTGTACTCAGAGCTGCCTTGCTGTGGATGGGCTTACCGTGCATCGTCTTGGCCTACGCGCTTGCACTCAGTCCACACCCGCCGCCGCCGCCGCCGCCGCCGCGCCCGCCACCACTGCTGCCGTCACAGCAGGGAATCACGCGGCACGGAATTGTCGACTGGCGAGATCCAACCGGCAACGTCGACTGGCGTGTGCCACGCTTTCATGCCATATCAGGCAGCTCTCCAACTGTCGTGCTGACGCACACAAAGTCGGAAGGCCGGCTCGACTCCCACCAACTCTTCCTCGACTACGCCAGCTCGGCGGTCGAAGAAACCCGATGGTCGGTCGAAGAGAGGCTGCTTCCGCCCTGGCTGGCCCTAAAGCCCACCTCGGGCATTCTGCCCGCCGGCCAGGCTGAAGGCGGCCTGTTCGTTGTCAGCGCTGCGCCCAATGTCCCCGAGCGGATCGAGCCATACCGCTCCTCCGTCCACCTGACCCTCACCTCAGATGCGTTCAATGACACCTTCGTCGCGGTCCCAATCTTACTCATTGTCGCACCCGCCACCAGCGCACACCACTCCATGTGGGGCGAGGCGCAGCTAGTGACGGGTAGCGCTGGTGGCGGAGGCAGCGCCGCATACCGGTGTGACCGACATCGGCAAAAGCCGCCGCTGCCGAGCACCCTCGGGGCGAAGCTTGCGGACAAGTCGGTGCGGCACTTTGACGAGGAGACGCTGCGCAAGGGCCGGGCGGAGCAGACCTTCCTCGGCGTCGACGTTGGCGTGGAGCAAGCGGTCGTCTTCACCGCGTGCGACTCGGAGGGGCTACGCGTCTCACACTCGCTGCCATCGGAGGGGCTGCGCGTCGCCCACGCGATCTGGAAGCCGGAGGAGGTGGAGGAGGTTCGCCAACACCACGGCCCCCAGGCCTGGCAAGTCGTACTCCGCGACCGCGCCTCGGGGCAGGAGCGCAAGATACAGTACGTGTACAGCTCGAGCGGGCGGTACGAGGCGACCGTGGCCGCGCCGCTCGTCGGCGAGTACGAGCTGCTCCTCTTTCTCGACTGGACACATGAGTCGGCCAGAGGGGAGCGGAGGCTCTCTGAGAATGTGCCGGAGGGCGGAGGGCGGTGGTCCCGGGAGCCGGTCGATACGCTCTATCTCGTCGCGCGGTGCCCGCCGCCGCTCGTCCCGCTGCCCAGCCGCGAGTGTGGCTGCCCCGCTGGGTATGAGGACCACGGGTACATGGCGTGCGAGCCGTGTGCCTTCGGCACCCACAAGCCCCAGCCTGGCAACGACGCGTGCATCCCCGAGACGTGGCCCGTCATCGTCACGACGTTTGGCACCTTCCTCGGGCTAGTGCTGCTCGTCGTACTACTCGTGTACGCGCGCCGCGGCTGGCAGCGGCACCTTCTGGCCAGCGCCGCGGCTGATCGGGAGAACGCCTGCAAGCAGAAGCGGATCCGGCATGCGGTCCTCAAGGTGACGACGCTCGAGCACCCTCTCGCGGTGATGCCGCTCTTCAGGCTGCGCGAACTTGGCAGCCTCGTCTCGTACGAGGAGGCGCGTGACGCAGGCGCCCTTCGCTGCTGCGATACTGTCCAGTCAGCGGTCGCCTTTGCCGTCCGCCACCCACTCGTCTTCGTGTCGCACCAGTGGCTCTCGCTCACGCACCCAGACCCCGAGTCGCTTCATTACCCCGTCATCCTCGAGGCGGCCGAGGCGCTCTGTGCGAGGCAAGGGCTCGACCCCGAGTCGCTCCATATCTGGCTCGACTACCACTCGAGTGCGCTACCGCCCTCCGTCCTGCCCTCGCCGCCACACCGCCCTCCGCCCCGCCCTCGTCAACACCGCCCTCCGCCCCGCCGTCGCCTCCCGCCGCAGTCCCTCAGGAGAACGAGACCACCAAGCGGCTCGCGATTGGCTCGATCCCGTTCTGCGTGGCCTGCTCGCACTACTTTGTCGTGTGCGCGCCCGAGGCGCAGCACCTCGGCTCGAACCCGCCCTCGCTCGTCAACGCGGAGACCTACCTGCAGCGCGGGTGGTGTCGGCTGGAGCAGTGGGCATTCCTCGCTATCAACGGCGCGGAGCAGATGTATGTGTTCGAGACGGCACTCGCCCACCTCTCGCAGCGGCGGCGGTGGATCGAGGAGTCGGTAAACGTCTTCCAAGGAAGCCTCCCCTCGCCGGGGCTACCGGGTGCAGCACGCAAATTGTGCTCACGTGGACCCTCTCGTCTTGCCCATAGGCCACTTCACGCACGAGGAGGACAAGGCTCTACTCGTCGACGTGGTACTTGGCCTATACGGGCTCGCCGTCGTCGCCGCCATCGACCCGTCGGTCGCCTCGTCCGGTCGCGGCGTTGGGAGAACCTCGAGCCTCGCGCGCTCCGAGCTGGGCCGCGCGCTGCGGGATCGGCATCGGGACGCCCTCGCCGGCAGCGTCGAGCATGGCGTCGTGGCCCGCTGTGCGGAGGATGGGCGGCGGTGCGGCGGCGGCGGCTTACCGGCATCTTCAGTGCAGCGCCTTCAGTGCGACGGGGGCGGGGCCGCGTCTTCCCAGCTGGTCGAGCTCATCGCCGAGCGGCGGTCCCTCGTCTTCCCGCGCGAGCATTTCGGCGACCTCGTCGATCGGCTCGAGGCAGAATTGGAGTGGGCGGCGCTCACCGGTCGGTCCTCCGCCTCGGAGACGTACCACGCGGCACGTTCGGCGCGGATGACGCTGCGAATCAGCCTCGACAGCCTCGAGGATGGCGGTGTGCGACCCACCGTCGACCCGTCCCGCCTCCGCCCCCCCGAGTCCCGCTCGTGCCTGCGCGCCTCCGACCGGGCGTCGCCCCACCGCTCGGGGTCCGCCGCGAGTCGGCGAGCATCTATCGACTCGATCCCGAGAGAAGCCCAGCCGCCATCCCTTCCGACCTGGGTGCGCCCGCCTACAAGAGACAAGTCGGTCTCGTGGGTTGAGGGGGTGAAGCATGGGGTGAAGGGGGAGGGGTGACCGAGGGCGCGTGCCTTCTTTTTTTGTGAAAACATGTGTGTAAATGGTGGACAGCGGAGCAGGCTCTGGGGGGCGCGGGGCCCCCCGGGCGACAAAAGCGAGCTTTGCTCGACCGGAGAACGATCGAGCTTGCTCGACCGGAGAACGATCGATGCCGCCGGGTTTTCAGCTCCTCGTCTTCGCCCACGCAGCTGCGTCGGGGCTGCCCGACCTCGCGAGCACACCGCTCCACAATGTTCAAGTCGCCGACCCGACCGGCATGCTCCTGTCGCACGCTCAGGGACTCCGCCCGAACCACTCGTCGGGCGCGGCGGCCGACGACCCTCTGCTCTTTCGCCATCGGTTCCAGCACCACAACGCCGCGACTGACAGCCTTCTCTACTACCAGTACGAGGCCAAGCGGCACCCAAACGTCGTCGTCCTCACGGACATGGTCGAGTCGTGTGAGGCGTCGGACGGCGAGGGAGGCGACGACGTGACAGACATCAAGGTCGCGACGAGCGTTCCGATGAACATGACGAACGGGACGATCATCGTTGGCGACGTCAACTGCACCTTTCGAGAGGCCGATGGCACCTCCTCGCCGTGGCGCAGCACCCTTCGCGAGCGCGTGCTTTCTTCCTCCATCGCCGCGTCTGCTGCTGACAGCCAGCTGGTGAATCTTCGCACGGTGCACGCCGCGCTCAATGAGATATTCCAGCATGCGCAGCTCGAGCTCTTTCAGGGCAGGCCACACGCGTTTGATGCTGCCCGCGACAAGCGCTTGGCATCGCTGGCTAACAATGGCGGGTATGACGACAAGTATGGCTTTGCGAGTGCAGACGCGGTGATCGCAGACGCAAAGAAGGACGCTCTCGCTCGGCGCCGGCTTGCCGACGCGGCGCGCCCTCAGAAGCAGAAGAAGTCGTCCCCGCAGAACACATCGTCGGCCAACCGGCGCGAGCTCTACCATACCTCATGCAACCGTCTGTTATTGCAGGACGGGGTACAAGACGACTTCACCCTCGTACTCCAAGGGACAGACTGCAACGACGGCGACCGACCGGGCCCTGGCATGGAGGATCGGACATGTTTCTGGAAGACTGGAGACAAGATTTCCCTCAAGGCTGGGAACGAGTACACTCTCCGGTGGAAAAGCAATACGAACGAGCGTGTTGAAATCTTCGTGCAAGAATCGGACGGTGGGTGGGGCAGCACCCACTGCGCAGACCTTTCCCCCCGGTATTGGATCACCAATCGAAGGTATACGAGCGGAGATATGCGTGACTCACCAAACGTATTCACATTCACGATGCCGGACCTGCGCGAACACGACTGCGCCGACGATGGCTGGTTCGGCGGCTTCCCCGAGTTCTTTTTTCGGATCCAGACAGAGTCGAAGTGCCACCGTGGGCAGTCGTTTATCTTTCGCTTCATCTCCGACTGGTCAGACACGCTCGGCCCTGGCGGGCGGTTCGAACCCCCATCGCAGTCAGTCGTTACCTTCGGCAACCAATACTCGGGCGCAAGTCTCACGTGCAATGACTGCAGCATGACCGGCAGCGCTGACGTCCACGTGCTGATTCGCGTCGACCAGTACAATCCGTTTGCAGAGTCGTGGTCGTGGGCTGATTCGACGCTCGAGGCGAACGTCGATCTCACGGCGCGCGCGAGCGGGAGCGTCGACAAGAACTTTGGCTCGGTCAGTGTGCTGCCTTGCCTTACCGACCCTGAACAGGTGACCTGTCCTGTTTGCATTTCCCCCATCTGCTTTGGTGTGAAGTTTGCTGGCATCGACGTTAACGTTGGGGTGATCATCGATCTCGAGCTCTCCGCGCGAATGAAAATTAGCGCGGAGGCGGATCTCAAGTACCGACGCAGCGTGAAGGCAGTTGGGACATTTGGGCTGCATACCCGTGGAAGCAGCATTCTCTTCGCCGATGCAAGCGATTTTGAACAGAGGCCTGGTGCAGAAGGTGCCGTCTCGTCGCCTAGCGAGGCAATGGCGCGCCTCTCCCTGTCTGCGTTTACCCAAGTTGGCGTACACCCTTCTTTGTACGTGGGGCTGTTCGCCTCGCTTTCGAAGTTTGCCGAGGCTGAAGTCTACTTTCGAGTCCGCGCCAGCCTCTACGTCAGTGCGTATTTCGACTTCAGTACAGCGGTCGGAACTACCTACCTTCTTGCCGGTCGTACCGACTCATACTGCGACACTGCGCTGTTCGGCTGCTCGAATACGTGCAGTGCCAATCACGACACCCAGCTGAGCGTGAGCGTTGCCCTGCGCTTGGATGCAGCGTACAAGCTCTACGCAAAGGCAGGGTGGGAACTCTGGACGGCGAGCATCGGCGACCGGAATGAGAAACCTCTCTTCCTTGATCTCGATTGGACAAAGACCCTGGCGACTTGGTGCTGGTTTCTCTTCCCGCCGTCTCCCCCACCTTCTCCGCCTCCACCTCCATCCCCGCCTCCCCCTCCCCCACCTTCTCCGCCTCCACCTCCATCCCCGCCTCCCCCTCGCAACGACAACTTCGACGGCGGCTATGGCGGCAGCTATGGCGGCGGCGGCTACGGTGGCGATGGCGGCGACGGTGGCGGCGGCGGCGGCATCTCTGTGGGCGTCATCGCCGGTGGAGCGGGCGGTGCAGCAGCTGCTCTCGTCCTCGTCCTCGTCCTCGTGTGCGTGATCAAGAAGAAGCGAGGACGCCCCACCCCCAGCCCATCTTCGGATCTCCCCGCCCCCCCTGTCGCCGTCGGCGTTCAGCTGCATTCAGCGGCTGGGGCCTCGGCCGACGCGATGCCGCAAGCGATTCAGTCCGAAGAAAAGGAGGTTGAACCGGCCGTGCCCGTCTCCGTCGTCGAGGCGAAGACGCAGGCGACGCAGTCGGCTGATCCGAATGAATCGGAACGCCTCAGCGGTACTTCTGCACGCCCCAGCACCTAGTCCGACGAGAATCGGCACAAGCAAGAGTGCCCTCCTGGGCCCCCCCCTAATATCCGACACCGACATCGACCATTCCTAACTCTCGCCGTCGGTGCCAGCCGGGCGCGCTGACTTGCCTCCATCTCCCATTCTGCACCGTTGGGGTTGTAAACGGACACCGACACGTCCTGACTCTGCCGTCGGTGCCAGCTGGTGTGGCGCGTGCCGCCGCTTGCGCTATTGCGTTCGCACATAGCATAGCGGCTCTGTCTGAGACGCATTTGTGTGTGTGGGCAAGCACTCAGCCATAGCATGAGGATTAGTTACTTTACCTCCAACAGCTGTTGTATCTTTGGTTCTGACTGGTAGACTTACACCTTACAGCACTGGTAGCTCTTGCCTCTGGAGTCTGGTCCTCTGCGAACTAATACTATCTGCGTCGGGACTGGGGTCTCTATTGATTGACTACTCACAGTTAGTGTACTTTTAGCTTTTCAGTGTACTTTTAGCTTACTGGGAGAAAGAAAAGAGAGAGGGGGTTGTGTTCTCTAGGCCCCTAAGGGCCCTACGCGCGGCGTGAGAGCTCGGAAGCGAGCTTTGCACGGCGATCGAGGATGGCGCGGCTCACCGGCATAAGTGTGGTTCTTGCCCAAAATGCGTGTGGGTTTTGCCCATGCATTGCATTTTTTGCATTCCGCATGCATCACCTGCATTACAGCTGCATTACAACTGCGTTCGCTGATTGCATTTCGTTGCATTATGCAATATTTGCATTCGTTGCATTTTGCGCGTGATTGCATTTCGTTGCATTATGCAATATTTGCATTCGTTGCATTTGCGCGTGATGATGATCGACAGCGTGGCGCAGCCACGCCAGCGTCCTCGACGCTAATCTAGAGTAGAGAGGTCGGCGACGGCCGACGCCGCGCCTCTTCACACCTCTCTGTTCACAGGTCGCCTCTGGCACCTGTTCAGCGCACTAGCCCATCGAGCCAAGCGCTAGGGCAATGCGCGATGGGGATCGGGAGCGTGGCGCAGCCACGCCAGCGTCCTCGACGCGAATCTAGAGAGGTAGGCGCCGGCCGATGCCGCGCCTCTTCACACCTCTCTGTTCACAGGTCGCCTGTGGCACCTGTTCGGCGCACTAGCCCGTCACGCCAAGCGCGCTAGGGCAATGCGCGATGATGATCGACAGCGTGGCGCAGCCACGCCAGCGTCCTCGACGCTAATCTAGAGAGGTCGGCGCCGGCCGACGCCGCGCCTCTTCACACCTCTCTGTTCACAGGTCGCCTCTGGCACCTGTTCGGCGTACGGCCCGTCGCGCCATGTGCTGGGCGAGATCGCGCTCTAGTAACTGCAAGGAAGGGCGAGTGGGGGAAGTGCCGGTAGGAGCCTCCCATCCCTCCATCACGGCACCCTCAGCGTCCCCGCGCACGGTGTGCATGAGGAATAGCACACGTGCGTGTGGTATTCGTGTCGACGGCCAGATGGGAGTGGCCTCGTGGCGAGTGCCCCACGGGCCTTGCTTTGAGTGCCGCCCCGGCTCCTACCGGCATAGCTGGAAGGGGCGCGAGCGGCTCAGAGTACCCTGAAGTGACAGTCGTCACGGGACTCTAGCCTCCGGAGCTCGCGCCTTCTTGTCACCCATAGAGCACATCGTGCGAACTATCCGGATGTGGGCTCTCTCATGCCCTGTGATGTACGTACACACGTACGGTCGTTCGAACCATGTGGGATGAGAGGCTCCGCCGATGCCTTCAGAGGGAACGGACGAGGAAAGGAAGACAATTCTCATCGGAACCATCTTGGCCTTGGCACCAGCCTTGGCGGGCGGGCACGCGGGACATGCACAGGCGCCAAGGGGCGCAGCGCCGACAATCACGGCGGTGATTGCGGCGCAGGTGGGGGGACGGGAAGTCCGTCGGCGTTGCCGGGGGCCCAAGGAAGCGCGAGGGAAAAATTCCGCCGCTGAGGGCGCTCGTGCGGCAATAGCCGAGTGGAGGGGGGAGCGTGCCGGATGGGGCGTCGTCGCGCCCTCCGATGGTCTGCTGCCCCGCGCAGCAACCGTCGGGCGACGACCCGGGGGCCAAAAACCCGGCGACGACGGCGCTCTGGATGGGGCGTGACCTCCTGCCTCCAACCTCCTTCCTTTTTGAGCAGGTGTGACGCCGCGCGAGCGACGCTCCGAGATCGCCCGAGATAGCGCGGCGCGGCCCCGAGATCGCCCGAGATAGCGCGAGATCGCCCGAGATCGCGCGGCGCGGCCCGGGGCGGGGTGGATGGGTTGGGAGCGAGGGGGCGGAAGTGTTCAGTGCGGTAGATGGCGAGCTCGAGGCGCGTGAGCCGGACCTGTGAGCCGGACCACCCCCTCTTGTTATCTGCGTTGTTTGTTGAGCCAGGACTCAACATACTCGGGCTCGTAATCCCAAACTGTCACTCCCCTTTCTCCCGGCCGGGGTGGGGCGCGCGCGGGGGCGGCGGGTGTGCGGCGGGTGTGAGGGATGTCTGTGAGCCCGAGAGCGATATGCCATGTCCGCCTTGCGTTTGTTTTCATAACATCGAAGGCTAAGCTCAAAAAAAACGCGCGGCGGCGCTCAACGAGCATGTCAGGCTCCGGGACAGGCTTCTCTTTTGGTGGCGCGCCTGCTGCCTCGTCCGGCTTTTCGTTTGGTGGCGGGAGTACGGCGCCGGCGCCCTTTGGTGGTGGCGGGAGTACGGCGCCAGCGCCCTTCGGCGGTGGCGGGAGTACGGCGCCGGCGCCCTTCGGCGGCGGTGGGGCGCCCTTCGGCGGCGGGGTGTTTGGGGGCAGCAGCAGTGCGTCTACTCCGGCCCCCGCGGCCGGTGGCTTTGTGCCGAGCGCCGCCGGCGGCGGCGGCGGCTTCAGCATGCCCGCCGCGAGTGGCGGCGGCTTCACCTTCGGCGGCGGAGGTGGGGGGGCTCCCGCCCCCGCCTTCGGCGCGGCCAATTCGGGAGTCTTCAAGCTCGAGAACGTCTCGCTGCTCAAGGAGGGGGACGCCGCCCCCATCGTCGCCGCGCTACAGCGCGGCGGCATCTCCCGCCTCGTGCTGCGCGGTGCGCCCGCATCGAGCGTGACGAGGACTGTGAGTGAGACACGCCCCATATCACCCTAGGTGCGAGCCGGTCCCCTAGGCGCGCCGGTGGACTATGACGAGAACCCGACCATGCGCGCCGCCGGAGCCGCCGAGCTGGTTGAGGCTCTGCGCAGCGCTGCGGGCCAGCTGAGGGAGGTCGTCTTCGAGGGGCACCGGTTCGAGCAGCCGGACATCGTCGCATCGCTGCTCGGCCCCTTCCATGGCTCGACGGCACTCGCACCTAGACGCGGAACACGTATTCATGCATTCCAACCAGCGCCCGAGAGGATTCAGCGGCTTTCGACCGTATTCGACTGTAGTCAACATTTAGCCCGTGTATTCACGCGGTGCTCTGACTCTGCACAATACCATACTCCCGCCCTGATGTTGGTGTGTCTCCGCCACTGCCGCTGCCGCCGCCTCCTTCACCGCCACCGCCATCACCACCTCCACCGTCTCCACCTCCTCCATCACCGCCGCCCCCATTGCCTCCCCCTCCCTCGCCACCGCCTCCTAGCCCACCGCCTCCCTCTCCGCCACCGCCCTTGCCTCCGCCGCCCTCTCCGCCACCACCCTGCAGGCGCTCGAGGTTCTCGACTTCACAAACTCGAGCCTCGGCCCCGAAGGGGCGCCCGTGGAGGTCGGCTCGTGCGAGAAGCTGCGCGAGCTCAAGCTGGAGGACTGCGAGCTTGGGGGAGACGGCTGCGAGGCGGTCGCGCGCGCGCTCTCGGGGCTCACATCCCTCGAGGTGCTCGACTTGCGAAACAATGACATGGACGACAGCGCCGAGTGCGTGGCGCTCCTGGCGGAGGCGCTGCGCGGGAACGCGCGCCTCAAGAAGGTTGCCCTCGACGAGGACCTCGACGTGGAGGCGCTGCGGGAGGCGCTGCGCGAGGCTGGCGTGGAGGTTGCGTTTCCCCTCCGCCTGCCTCTATTTTCTGCCTCTGCCCGCCCTCTGCGTCTGCGTCTGCGTCTGCATCTGCCCCGCCTTTTTCTGCCTCCGTGCTTCTACCCACTCTCATCTCACCCTCTCAGCCTCGCCCTCGCCCTCGCCCTCGCCCTCGCCCTCGCCCCCACCCTTTCCCTCGCCCTCGCCCTCACCCTCACCCCCACCCCCACCCTCACCCTCACCCTCACCCTCAGGCTGCGCTGCACCTCGGCGAGGACGACGACGAGGACGACGACGATGAGGAGGACGACGAGGACGAGGGCGCGGCGCGCGCCAAGGAGGAGGAGGCGGACGGCGAGGAGGAGGCGGTGAAGGTGGAGGCGGAGGCGGAGGCGGAGGATGGCTCGGACAGGGGCGGGGACAAGTCGTTCGTCAAGGTGGACCTGGGGCTGTTTGGAGAGCGATCCTCCAAGGCCGAGAGCGCGGTGGGGACGTCGCCTGCCTCCACGGCGGTAGCTTGGATGGAGGAGAGCAGCGGCGTCGACCTCAATCGTGACGGCGTCGTCGGCGCCACACCGGCGCCCTCGCCGTCTGCCCCGGCTCCAGCCGCGCCGGCGCCGGCGCCGGCTGCTCCCTTCTCCTTCGCCCCCCAGAACCCGGCGCCGCCGGCCGAGGCCCCGCCCGCCGCCGCCAAGGCTGCCGCGCCCAGCGCGGCCGCGTCGGAGGACCTGATCAACGCGGCCGAGATGGGCGACCACGACGCGCTCGTCAAGGCGATCGGCGACGGGGCCGACGTGGACACGGTGGACGGCAAGACGATGGCGCCGCTGCACTGGGCGGCCAAGTGCGGCCGGCACGAGGACATCGTGGCGCTGGTCGGCGCGGGCGCCGACGTCAACAAGACGACCAAGGCGGGTGTGACGCCGCTCATCTACGCGGCGTCGGAGGGGTGGGACGACTGCGTGCCGCTCCTGCTCTCGTCGGGGGCCGACGCGTCGCTCAAGACGCAAAAGGGTCGGACGGCACTCGACGCGGCGCGCGAGAAGCTGGGCAAGGTGGAGGCGGACGAGAGGCCCCGCTTCAGCAAGGTGGTCGAGCAGCTCTCCGCGGCAGTTCACGAGCAGCCCATCGCAAAGTCGCCACGGACCAGTGCGCAGCAGAGCCCGGGCGCCAGCTCGCCGCGCCCCTCGCCGCCCCCGCCGCTTCCGCCGGCCGCCAGCGAACCTCCCCCCGCCTTTGGCGCGCCGGCGGCGGGCGCAAAGGGACTCTTTGGCGCTGCTGCGGCGTCGCAGCCTCCCTCCAAGCTAAGCTTCGCGCTCCCGACGACCCCCGCTGCCATCGCGTCGCCCACCGCCGGCACGTCCGCCGCCGCAACTTCCGCCGCCTCGGCGAGCAGCGGTCCGCACGCCACGTCGGGCGTGCGCGCTCCGGCGCCCGGGGTGCGGACGCCCGACTGGCTCAAGTCGTCGGCTGCCAGCCTCGCCGCGACGCCTTCTGTCGCCCCCGCTTCCGCCGCTCCTCCCAGCGGCCCGAAAGGCGAGGGGGCGGCGTCGGGGCGCGTCCTCGCCCCGCAGGCGCCGTCCCCGCTCGACGTCGCCGCGCTCGAGGGCATGGCGCGCCACCCCGTTTCGCCTCCCCTCTCCCGCATATCTCCCCCATCTCTCCCTCACATCTCCCTCATATCTCCCTCACATCTCTCCCACCTCTCCCTCACATCTCCCTCATATCTCCCTCACACCTCCCCCACCTCTCCCTCACATCTCCCTCATATCTCCCTCACATCTCCCTCATATCTCCCTCATATCTCCCCCAAGGTGCCGGAGAGCACGAGCCGAAGGGGGCTCACGTGCGGTTTCCGAGCAGGTGCGCCGGCTTCTGTCCGAGTCGATCCAGCCTGTGAGCGAGCGCCTGGCCAGCATCGAACAGAAGGCCAGCCTCGCTTCGGAGCAGCAGCTGGCCACACTCTCTGGAATGATCGAGTCGATCCGCACGGCGCCACCGCCGGTCCCCGTCGCTCGCTCACGCCTTGGCCTCCTCACCTGGTCTTGGCCCCACACTCAGGCACAAGCGGCGGTCACGGCGCGGGAGACGTCGCTCGGCGAGAAGGAGAGCGCAGCGGCGGCGGCGGCGGCGGCCACCTCCGAGCGCGGCAAAGCTCTCGACGCGCGCGAGCGCGAGGTTTCGGTTCGGGAGGCTGCTGCTAAGCAGCGCGAGGACGCGGTGCACCGGCAGGCCCAGATGATGGCGAGCACTTGCTCACCGGAGGCCGCTAGTGTGAACAGCGTCTCTTCACACCTCTAGCTGTGAACAGGTGAGCGAGCAGGAGCTCCTGCAGGTGGCGGCGCGCGACGCGCAGGCGCGCCACGAAGCGCTGGCGAGCAAATTCGCCGTCCTGGAGGAGCGCGTCAAGGATGCGGAGGAGCGTAGCCTAAAACTGGAGGCGGAGGCGGCCGATGCGGGCAGGGAGGCTGAGGAGAGCAAGGCGGAGGTCAAGCGTCTGGAGGTGGAGGCGCGCCGGCGCGAGCAGCTCGCATCGCGGGTTGCTGGTGCGCTCGCGGTGGAGGAGAGTGGCGGCCCCGCGCACGCTGCTGGCGCGGGCGTTTCCTCCCGCGAGTGCCGCCGCGGGATCCGCGGGTCTGTTGTGACTTGGTCGGCCTTTGCTCAATAGGCACTCCGCTCCGACCAGCCTCGATGGGCTGGACCTCGATGCGGCTGGGCGGGCAGGCGACGCCGAAGGCGGGGACAGACGGGACCAGGGCGGCGGAAACGGCGCGCCGCGCGCAGGCGGCAGCGCTCAGCGGTCGGCTCGCACTCTCCTCGCCCGCTCCAGACGTGCTCGACGCGATCGCGCCAACGGCGAGCGCCGCAAACAATGTCGGCACGCCCGCATTCTCGCCGGGAGGATTGTTCGGTTTCCCGCGACGCAAGTGACGCGCTCCGCTCCGCCGACACACCATTTCGATGCGCGCGCCCGCGGCGCCGCGGTTCGCGCAGTCCACAGAGCCAGAGGCGCACAATGAGAATGAGGATTGATGAAGGGGTAACGTGGAACTTTTGGGGCCGCGGGGGGCGGCCTCTTTCCACTTTCAGTCCTGAATCTATCAAACATCTCGAATAAAGAAATTAGCCCCGGCCTCAGGTTCTTTTAAGCAAACTCGCAGACTCTGGCCGGCGCCCTGTGGGGCCTGGGCCACACGGCGACGAGCAGGAGCAGCTGCTGCCCAAGAAGGTCGAGGCCTTGGCTGGGCGGCGCGTCGTCGCCGTGTCGGCAGGAGACTTCCACAGCCTCGCCATCACCGCCGACGGTGCCGTCTGGAGCTGGGGCGGTGGAGCCGATGGCCGGTTGGGCCACGGCGACGAGCAGAACCAGCTGCTGCCGAAGAAAGCCGAGGCTTTGGCTGGCCTGCGCGTCGTCGCTGTGTCGGCTGGAGACTGCCACAGCCTCGCTCTCACCGCCGGCGGCCATGTCTGGAGCTGGGGTCGTGGGAGCGAGGGCCAGTTGGGCCACGGCGACCAGCAGGACGAGCCGCTGCCAAAGAAGATGGAGGTGTGGGCGAGCCAGCCGAGCACGCCCTTCTCCTCTGACGGGGAGGGCAGCGACGAGGGGAGCGACGAGGGGAGCGACGAGGGGAGCGGCGAGGGGAGCGACGAGGGGAGCGACGACGAGGGCAGCAACGACGAGGGCAGCGACGACGAGGGCAGCGAGGAGGAGAGCGAGGAGGACGAGTAGTCGTGAGAGCAAGGGAGAGCTCGGGGAGCGGCCGAGAACGCGGTGACCGCGGCGCGACCGGTGTGGCGTGGGCTCCTTCCCGGGTCGCTCGTGTGAGTCGCTCTCGGGGGCAGTGTGTGTGTCGGCTGTCGGAGTCGCGAGTGCGCGCGTGTGTGGGTTCGAGACCGCGCGCGCGCGCGCGCGCGCGCACACGCGCGACACGCGGTGTGCATCGCCATCACGCATCAGTGAACGGCCCACCTGCATGTCGATGTGCCATGTCGTACTTTCTGAAACCGACTTCATCACATAAAAAAAATTGTTCCAGTCTTAGCAAGCAAAAGGGAGCACACACGACTTAGCAAGTCCGCACTAGCGACTGCCACTCGCCTAACCATGCCTCGTCACAAGTGCTCTCCCAATCGCGTACAGGCACACACACTCCGCCTGTTCTCACCCAAACACTCTATCACACCCTTGCCTCCCTGCCAGAGCGAGCTAGATTCTCCCCGCCTCCCTCCCGCCTCTGCCGCGCGCCTTCTATGGACGTCAAGTGCAGCACCTAGGGGGAGAGAGGGGGTTTGCCCTGGTAGGGAGGTGGCGAGGCCGCGCACTGCAAACCCAGTGTGAGGAGTGGGGGAGCTGGGACAGGGCGTGTGCGCCTCTGATCTGTCATGGTCTAGGTATTTTTCGGGTAAACCTGGACTTTTGCAGGTATACCCGGTTTTACCCCTGAGTTGGCCTTGCGGTGTCGTCTAAGTTCATGGCCCCCGACCATACAGCGTCTAAGTTTGAGCCCGGCTCCGTGCGGGGGCTAAGTTGAGCGCTCGCTCGCTGCAGAGGCTAAGTGTAGAGCGACCCTCTAGCCCTACTACCCAACCATTTCGAACCCTAGCCGCCCGCTCACCGCATCCCAAATCGCTCCCTTCCCCTCGTCGCCCAACTTGTTGTACTCGAGGTTGATGCTTTTCAGCACCCCGTTGACGCGAAGAGCGGAGGCCAGCGCAGTGGCGCCCTCGTCGCCGACGTTGTTGCCCATGAGCTCGAGGTTGGTCAGCACCCCATTGCAGCGCAGCGCCTCGGCGATCGCGACGCCGCCCTCGGGGCCGATACTGTTCCAGCCGATGTCGAGCTCGGTCAACACCCCGTTGACGCGAAGAACGGATGCTAGCGCCTTGGCACCCTCGTCGCCGATGTTGTAGTTCTGGCCGAGGTTGAGGTTGGTCAATACCCCGTTGCCCCGCAGCGCCTCGCCGAGGGCGGCGGCGCCCTCGTTGCCGATGCCGTTGTAGCGGAGGTTGAGGGTGGTCAGCACCCCGTTGACGCGAAGGGCGTCGGCGATCACGGTGGCACCCGTGGGGCCGATCTGGTTCCAGGAGATGTCTAGCTCAGTCACCACCCCGTTGCCGCGCAGCGCTTCCGCGATCGCAGCGGCGCCCTGGTCGCGGATCTGGTTGTTGGCGAGGTTGAGGGTGGTCAGCACCCCGTTGACCTTGAGGGCGTCCGCGAGCGCAACGATGCCGGACGCATCGTACTCACCATCACCGTCCTCGTCAATGCCGCATATCTCGTTGCCGCTCAGGTCGAGGGTGGTCAGCACCGCGTTGCCGCGTAGCGCCTCCGCGATCGCGGCTACGCCCTCCGCGCCGATGTTGTTGTGCGGGAGCGCGAGGGTGGTCAGCACCTCGTTGCGCTCGAGTCCGCCTCTGATCCGAGCAGCGCCCTTCATGCCGATTTTGTCTGCCGCATCCCGCCACTTCGTGTTTATCCTTGAAACGGCGTTTGCCACCAGCGGGGTGGCGAGGTCCTTGAAGCGGCTGCTGCATCGTTTGAGGGCGACGGCGGAAGCCAGGTCAGACTCGGCAAGCCGACTGGCAATCTTCCGCAACAGGTCGTCATTGAGATCTGCAAGGCAAGGAGGCTCGGCATCTAGCTCGGCGTCCATGGATGCGCGTCGGCGGGCACATCTACACACGACACACCGCGGGGCACCCCCGCCGAAAGCCGAAATGGCAGTCCCTCGCCGATTAAAACTCCTGGGCTCTCAATGCCTAGCCCGCCGTTCTGTCAGCCGCGGCCCGCATGTCCAGACAGTGCGGGCCTCGACGCCACACTAGGTCCATTGGGTTGAAGCCTGGCTTGTCTCGAAGGTGAGGTATAGAGGGTCACATGGGGAATGCGAACTCGTCATGATGCGCGGCGACGGCGGCGTCGATATCTATCGACGCCGCCGCCCCGCGCTCCAAAACGGTCGCGTACGCATATGCGCACAACTGGGTACGTGGGCTCCCGCATTGGATTTGGGTCAGGCCACTGTCAAAGGTCCCTCTCCACTCCTCCTTGCACCACTGAAGCATATGCAGCTGATGTGAGCAAGGTCGCCTAAGCGGCCCCCCTCGCTGTGGGTTGCCGTAGTTGGGCCATGCCACGCGTTGTGGCGAAGATAGCCGGGCCGTCTTCGGGCCCGGCCCTAACAGTACGACGCATACGCGCCGCGACCGCTTCAAGTGTCACCGCCGCCGCAAGGCGGACGGCGCCCACCGCCAAGCCAACAGCAGTGGCGAGGGCGGCGGAAAGGTGGATTCGAGCCGCCCGCACGCTCGTGCGGTCGGGAGGATCGTGTAGAGCACGCCGTGCGCAAGCACAGGTGCGCGTTTGAAGCATTCGAGTCGCAGCAGCGAAGGCTGCTGCTTACTGGTTTGTGGCACGCCACGCATCTCGCGCGGTGAGTGCTGAGATACGCCCCGAGCACGATCGCCGGGGCGGCTGCATGACTAGAACGACCCGTGCCGTGGCACAGGTCGAGTAGAGAGGGCCGCACACGCGTCCTTGCGGGCGGCCCGTTGCGAAGAATCGAGCACACCGAAGCGAGGTGTGCTCGTGTTGCAAGTGTCGCCGCCGCCGCAAGGCGGACGGCGCCCACCGCCAAGCCAGCAGTGGCGAGGGCGGGGGAAGGGTGGATTCGAGCCGCCCGCACGCTCGTGCGGTCGGGAGGCTCGTGTAGAGCACGCCGTGCGCAAGCACAGGTGCGCATTTGAAGCATTCGAGTCGCAGCAGCGAAAGCTGCTGCTTACTGGTTTGTGGCACGCCACGCATCTCGCGCGGTGAGTGCTGAGATACGCCCGAGCACGATCGCCGGGGCGGCTGCATGACTAGAACGACCCGTGCCGTGGCACAGGTCGAGTAGAGAGGGCCGCACGCGCGTCCTTGCGGGCGGCCCGTTGTGAAGGATCGAGCACACCGAAGCGAGGTGTGCTCGTGTTGCAAGTGTCACCGCCGCCGCAAGGCGGACGGCGCCCACCGCCAAGCCAGCAGTCGCTAGGGCGGGGGAAGGGTGGATTCGAGCCGCCCGCACGCTCGTGCGGTCGGGAGGCTCGTGTAGAGCACGCCGTGCGCAAGCACAGGTGCGCGTTTGAAGCATTCGAGTCGCAGCAGCGAAAGCTGCTGCTTACTGGTTTGTGGCACGCCACGCATCTCGCGCGGTGAGTGCTGAGATACGCCCCGAGCACGATCGCCGGGGCGGCTGCATGACTAGAACGACCCGTGCCGTGGCACAGGTCGAGCAGAGAGGGCCGCACACGCGTCCTTGCGGGCGGCCCGTTGTGAAGGATCGAGCACACCGAAGCGAGGTGTGCTCGTGTTGCAAGTGTCGCCGCCGCCGCAAGGCGGACGGCGCCCACCGCCAAGCCAGCAGTCGCTAGGGCGGGGGAAGGGTGGATTCGAGCCGCCCGCACGCTCGTGCGGTCGGGAGGCTCGTGTAGAGCACGCCGTGCGCGAGCACAGGTGCGCGTTTGAAGCATTCGAGTCGCAGCAGCGAAGGCTGCTGCTTACTGGTTTGTGGCACGCCACGCATCTCGCGCGGTGAGTGCTGAGATACGCCCCGAGCACGATCGCCGGGGCGGCTGCATGACTAGAGCGACCCGTGCCGTGGCACAGGTCGAGTAGATAGGGCCGCACACGCGTCCTTGCGGGCGGCCCGTTGCGAAGAATCGAGCACACCGAAGCGAGGTGTGCTCGTGTCGCCGCCACCGCTGCACGCGGGCTGGACTATCGCCTGCAGGATGAGGCTAGAAGAGGCGTAGTTCCCCGCGTAGAGCACATAGCAAAAGGACTCCCAAACCAAGCAAAGTCAGTTGCTCCATTCGGATGACGCATCAGAACTGAGAAATTTCCGTTGACAGAGAGCTGCTCGGTGTGACGACGTGTGGTGTCCATCCCAAATGCGCCACTGGCGCACCGTTGGGCGGGGGGGAGGTCAAAGCGAGTCGCCCAGGCTCCCTGCTGGGCGGCTCGCGTCAGTGTTTGTAACGGTTCGAAGAAGCTCTTTGTTCACGGTTCCACCGTGAACAGGAGATTGGTCGAGGCTATGCACAAGCGATGCGCGTAGACTCCGTGTGGCTCTGGGCTGCAGCCTGTTGGAGAGCCGAGTCGCTTTAATAGCACGGCCGGGCACGGTCGTACCTCGCGTGCCCTCTGTGCGAATTAAAACTCCTGGGCTCTCAATGCCTAGCCCGCCGTTCTGTCAGCCGCGGCCCGCATGTCCAGACAGTGCGGGCCTCGACGCCACACTAGGTCCATTGGGTTGAAGCCTGGCTTGTCTCGAAGGTGAGGTATAGAGGGTCACATGGGGAATGCGAACTCGTCATGATGCGCGGCGACGGCGGCGTCGATATCTATCGACGCCGCCGCCCCACTCTGTCTTCCTTCTCGGAAAGTTCGCGAGACCGAGTCCTTAGACTCGCTCGCGCGGCGCGCATTGACATATATTGACTGTGCGCATCCCCATGTCGAGCACAGCTCGAAGTGCCGCCTGGCCTCTTCTTGAGTGCACAGACGATTTGTGGTCATCCCGACTACGGAATAACACGTGTTCTGTCGCCCCATTCCGGAGGAATGCCGACAGGAGTGATTTGATACTTGTGCAATCCGTCGCCGCCCCAGCAACCTCCACCTGGTCTGTTGACGAGGCGTCCACCGCTGCTGCGCCGGCCGGGAAGGGAAGCATCGGCTGCTTTGCGTCGTGGAAGCGCGAGAAGGCAAACTCCGTCGCCAGCGGACCCGGGAGCTCGTACATGGCCGCGTTGCCCTCGATTGCGCCCTCCGCCATCGCCGACGTGCGGAAGCGCCCCTCTGAGGGGTAGAGGTCGCGTTTCCCGTCCCGCGCCGTACGCCAAGCAAAGGACTGCCCGACCAGGCCGTGGGTCTGGGCCAGCGCCGCCTCGTCCCCGTGCGCGTGCAGCGACACGTCGAGCCGGTGCCTCGGGCCACTTATATGACCCCATACTGGCGCGGCGGCCACCTTGATCACCCATCCTGGGACCCGGAACCTTGCGCTCGAGAACCTGACGAGAATCTCCATCTCCTCGCACTTCTTGTACCCGCCCGTGCCGAGGAAGAACTGGCCGCGGTCGCCGCACGTGCCGTTGATCATGTTGGGTCCCGTCGTGAACTCGTTCAGCTCGGAGGTCCAAAAGCTTGCCGTCGCCAGCTTGTGCTTCTCCCCGCCAACCAGCGCCACGGCGTGCAGCTCCGTCGGACTGGACACCAACGCGGTATGGGTGGACGCTAGACAGTAAGTAAGTAAGGGGATTGCTAAGTAAGACCTAACTAAGTCCCGAGAACAATTTTCTTGCTTCTGCCGGCACGTCGTGGTGACGATGATGGCGAGGAGCATCACGGTGGAGAGGAGCTCGTCCCGGCGCTGCTTGGGCTCGCTCGAGTTAGCGGTCTTGGCACGGCACGGCACCTCGGTTTTATTCTTAAAGAAAGAAAGAATCTTACAATGAAACTCCCTCGCAAAGAAAGAAAACGGACAACCCAAGGGAGGGATGGGAGGACGGCACGCCGCCACCACACAGGGATTTTAAGGAGAGGGGTGTGATGCGCTAGCCGTCGCCCACCCTTGGGCGTCCGCCTCTTCCTATCTCTCTTCGCAGTCTCTCGCCGATTCTCGCTCGCTGCAACCTTCATGCCACCTCGCGGTCGTCCCACTCTCGTCGTTCTTTCCCTTGTCACTTCTTCCTCTGTCGCGTCGCTCTCCTCTGCCTCGTTCTGCGACGCCGCCGCCGCCTGCCGGTTCCTTGTTCTCGCGGCTTCTTGCGCCGGCGGTTTTTTTCTTGTATGAGGTGAGCCTGTGTGTGTGCCAGTCCGCGCCAGTCTGCGCCCTTGTCGTGCCAGTGTGCTGTGAGAGAGGCTTGTATCTTAAGAATTCTTGTATGAGGGTTGTTTCATAGTGCGCATGCTCAGCACTTACATCCTTGGCCGCTCCGCAGACGCCTCCTCTGATGCTGACTCGCATCGGGGATCTCGATGACGAGGTGCTGCTTGAGATGATAGCGAAACCGCTGGCCGAGTCTGACATCGCTTCCGCTGTCGCCTTCAAACGATGCAGCAGACGCTTCAAGAATCTCGCCACCAAACCGGTCGCAGACGCTGTGAAAAGGACAAACGAGAACTGGCGGGCTGCGGCAGCCAGCATCGGCGGCCCAGGCGCTGCAAAGATCAGAGGCGAGCTCGGGCGCAACGAGGTGCTGAAAACACTCGACCTCTCCGGCAAGAAGATCGACGACGAGGGCGCCGCTGCAATCGCTGGGGCGCTGCGGGGCAACGCGGTGCTGAAAACCCTCAACCTCCGCTACAACAAAATCGGCTCCGAGGGTGCTGCCGCGATCGGCGAGGCGCTGCGCGGCAACGGGGTGCTGAAAACGCTAAATCTCTCCCTCAACTACATCGGCGTCGAGGGCGCAAAGGCGATCGGCGCGGCTCTGCGTGGCAACGGGGTGTTGATCGAGTTGCGGCTTGACCTGAACCAGATCGGTGACGAGGGCGCCAAGGCGCTGGCCTCCGCTCTGCGCGTCAACGCGGTGCTGACCACCCTCGACATCTCCGCCAACGAGATCGGTCCCGAGGGCGGCAAGGCGATCGCAGAGGCGCTGCGCGGCAACGGGGTGCTGAACAACATCGACCTCCGCTTCAACGCTTTGGGCGACGAGGGGAAGGGAGCGATTCGAGATGCGGTGAGCGGGCGGGAAGGGTTCAAGCTCCAGATGTGAGTGGGCTCTGAGAGTGGAGATGGTGTAGACGTGCATGGGATTAGAGTGGGTTGTCTTGAAGAGCTTGAGTTGCGGCGGGAGCGTGATTTCTTTTTCCCGTTTTTTCAGCACGGCGGGGTGCTGACCAAGCTCGTGCTACATCGAGGGCGCCGCTGCGCTGGCCTCCGCTCTTCGCGTCAACGAGGTGCTGACCACCCTCAAGCTCGTCGACAACAACATCGGCGACGAGGGCGCCGTTGCGCTGGCCTCCGCTCTTCGCGTCAACGGGGTGCTGACCATCCTCAATCTTCGCGACAACGATTTGGGTGACGAGGGGGAGGGAGTGATTCGGGATGCGGTGAGCGGGCGGGTAGGGTTCGAGCTCGAGATGTGACTGTGAATTCTGAGAGTGGACGGTGCAGGGGGACGTGCATGAATTAGTCTGGGGTTGTGTCTTCTTGATGGCGCATTACAGGCGAATCTGGTGGTGACGAGATGTGGTTGGCGCCATGTGGTCGTTTGACGTTATGACTTATGTATCTTTAGAAGCTGTTAGAGAGACAGTTGGCTGGCCGCCAGAGCTGCCGTGGGGCCCAAAAATCGCATCTGTGGTGCGCTAGCCGTCGCCCACCCTTGGGCGTCCGCCTCTTCCTATCTCTCTTCGCAGTCCTCTCTCTCGTATTCTCGCTTCAACCTTCGTGCCACCTCGCGGTCGCCCCCTTCTCGTCGTGCTCTCCCTTGTCGCTTCTTCCTCTGTCGCGTCGCTCTCCTCTGCCTCGTTCTGTGCCGCCGCCGCCGCCTGCCGTTCCCTTGTCCTCTCGGCTTCTTTGCCTTTCGGCGCAACTCCGTCCTCCTCGCTGCGTATCCTGGCCCCTCGAGTCTATCGAGCTCTCCTCGAGCAAGGACGAGTCTTCTGACGCCCACTGCTATCATTTGCCGCCCAGTCCGACAGCCCTAAAGAAAGAAAGAAAGAAAACGGGCCAGGGGCAAAATAAAGTCAGATTTCTTGCTTCTGCCAGACAAACACCGGCACGATGGCCACGGCTGGAGGCAACGGAGAAAGGCATTGTGGAGCGGCGAGGCGATTGTTAGGAATTTCGAGGCGCGGAAAAATCCGACAGCCCTGGAAAATTAAGGATGCCGAATTTCTTGCTTCTGCCGGACAAACACCGGTGTTTGTCGAGCTCCGCTACGGTCGGGGCAAGCCGGCGCTAGATGCGTTGCTTGGCCTGTCCGAGGGTTTCCGGCAACCCAGAGGGAAACCAGAGGGTCCCCAGCACTTTGCGTTTCCGGAAGTTTCCAGGGAAACCAGAGGGTGTTTGGTGCTCCATTCTGTTTCTCTCGAGTTTCCCTCGGGAAACTCGCGAGTTTCCCTGAGTCTGAGAGCTGGTCTGGGGCAAAATCTGGGGCAAAATTGAGGAAATCGGCACGATACCCAGGTATTTTCCAGGTATACCGGGGTTTTCCAGGTATACCCGCAAAATACCCGGTATTTTGCCGATTTTGGCCCCAAAACAGCCTCAGACACGGCTCAGAGCCCCCCCAAAATGACGAATTCCACGGAGTTTCCCCGGGGTTTCCCGAGGAAACTAGAGGGTGTTGTAGGGAAACGAGCAGGAAACACGGAAAGGAAACCAGGTAGGGTGCGAGAGGAAACCCTCGGACAGGCCAATGCGTTGCCGCGCGAGCTGGAGCCCGACCCAGCTATCTGAGATGGCTCGCCCGTCGCGCGGCTTCTGTTGTGCACGAGAGCGCCGGCCGGCGTTTCTTTTGACCGCTTTTTCGCCGTGTCCGGTGGCCCAAGGGGTCCCCTTGACGGAGGGCTAACCTCCGAATGTAACACCTCCCTGCCGTCTGTGGGATCAGTGCGCGCCGTCCAAACCCAAAGAAAAACCGAATTTACTTAGTCGGACTGGAAAAAAAGATAGAAAACTTGATGGCGGTATCATATGAATTCATTTGTTTTCCTGAAGAGAGAGTTGCACGATGCCACGGCACTCCAAGAGGGGCATGAGCCACTCGGTGAAGAAGCTTCAGCGTCGCGGGGGCGCTCCCAACGTGCGCTGCGCCAAGTCGAAGCGCAAGCAGCTCAGCCGAGCCGAGAACACGAGGCCGAACCGAAAGAAGAAGGCGCGGCCGGAAGACGGCGACGTGGAGATGGCCGTGACCGAGCGGTCAGATGGGGCGGCGGCGCGGGCCGAGGCGCGGCAACAGCTGGGCAAGCGCTCGCGGCAGGACGAGTTTGCCAAGCGGCGCGGCCTTGCCACGCCAAGCATCCAGCAGGCGGCAGCGGGCGAGTACGGAGGCGGTGGAGAGGAGGATGCGCGTGGGCCTGCCGCGCCAGGGTCGGTGGCGGAACGCGCGCTTTCGGCGGCGCCGCGGAACCAGCGCGCCTTCCAGAAGGAGCTTGCAAAGGTGCTGCGCGAGAGCGATGTGCTGCTCGAGGTGCTGGACGCCCGCGATCCGCTGGGCTGCCGCTGTGCGCCGCTCGAGGCGGCGGCGCGTGTGGAGCGGCCGGGGAGGGGGCGACGGGAGGGGACGGGATTGGTGCGCGGACCGTAGGACGCGGTGATGAGCAGGATGGCCACCTCAAAGCGCATCGTCCTCATCCTCAACAAGATCGACCTGGTCCCGCCCGAGAACGCCGCGCGCTGGCCCAAGATTAGCCGAGATTAGGCGAGATGTGAGCCGGTTTGATTGCCGCGAGGAACACGCGCACACACGCACGCACGCACGCACGCACGCACGCACGCACGCACGCACGCACGCACGCACGCACGCGCGCACGCACGCACGCACGCACGCACGCACACTAGACACTTGACACACACACACACACACACACACACACTTACGATGATGAGCTTTCTCGAGCTTTGTGTTCACAGACTCGAAGACCACTAGACACACCCATCATCCACATCCTCGCCGCTGCACCTCCTCACTGACACACCCATCATCCACATCCTCGCCGCTGCACCTCCTCACTGACACACCCATCATCCACATCCCTCGCCGCCGCACCTCCTCCAGGGGGCGCCGTCCCTCGTACCCCTCCGCTTGGATCCGCGTAGGCTCGCCTACCTTCGCCATATCTCCCCATATCTCCCCATATCTCCGCTAGGCTCGGCTACCTCCGCCAGTTCTTCCCTACCGTGCCCTTCAAGGCGAGCGGAGAGATGGGGAGAGATGGGGAGATGTGGAGGGGATGGCTTTAGATGTGCAGGTGCGCACCGAGGGGGAGGGGAGTGGGTGCGGCCGAGATGAGCCGAGACGAGACGAGACGAGATGAGCCGATCTGGGGCGAGCGGCGGCTCGGACATGTCCGGGACACTACCATGACATGTCCGAGACATGTCCCATAGGCGAGCGGCGGCGGCGGCGGCGGCGGCGGCGGCGGCTCCTCGCGCAGCATGGCGGCAGCGTCTGCGGGCGGTTCGGAGGCGCCGAATAGGGAGCAGGTGGGGCGGGCGCGATGTCGTGCTGTCAGACGTCGGTGTGTACGCAGGCGTTTGGCGGCGAGCAGCTGCTACAGCTGCTCAAGAACTACTCCCGCTCGGCCGGGCTAAAGACGTCCATCACCGTCGGCGTGGTTGGCTACCCCAACGTCGGCACGCCTAGACGCCAACACACACACACACACACACACACACACACACACACACACACACACACACACACACACACACACACACACACACGCACGCACGCACGCACACTGCGTTTTCTTGTTTTCCGGCTCGCTCCGAGAGGACGGACTCCGGCGGTATTCGACCGCATACGGCGGTACTCCTTGTGCTCGAACCCCCTCGTATTCACGCGGTGCTCTGACGACGCTGCACCTACCGCATTCCAGCCCTGAGGTTGGCGTGTATGCACCACGCAGGTCGGCAAGTCTTCGCTCATTAACTCGCTCAAACGAGCGAAGGAGCGCTGCTCCCCAGAGCACGCCCATGCATGCGCACGCACACGCACGCCCATGCATGCGCACGCACGCACGCACGCGCTCAACCAGCCCACGCAACGCACGCAACGCCGCACGTATGCACGTGGCGGCTCACCACGGCTCACCTGGCCCCGGCCACTCGCCCGCTCGCCGGCACCAACATACCCCCCACCCGGATCCGCCGCGCTCACCCACCCACCCACCCCACACCCCAGCACACACACCTCACCCCGCCTCACACCACGGCCCCCACACGGCCCCCCCACACACCCCACACACCCCACACACACCCCACGCCCCCCACCCCCCACGCCCCCCACGCCCCCCACACACCCCAGCCCCAGTCCGCCCACCCAGTCCACCCACCCCAGCCACCCACCCCAGCCACCCACTCCTTGCACAGGCGGTCAACGTGGGCTCAACGCCGGGCGTCACGACAGCCGCGGCTCGGACATGTCCGGGACACGACCATGACATGTCCGAGACATGTCCCATAGGCGTCACGACCGCCGCGCAGCTCGTGTCGATTGACAAGCGGGTCAAGCTGATGGACTGCCCCGGGATTGTCTTTGCGCGCGCGCGGACGGCCGAGGAGGAGGCGGACGTGCTGCTGCGCAATTGCGTCAAGGTGTGGAGACACACACGCGCGCGCGTACACCCCCCCCCACACACACACACTCACACACACACACACACACTCACACACACACACACACACACACACACACACACACACACACACACACACACACACACACACACACACACACACACACACACTCACACACACACACACACACACACACACACACACACACACACACACACACACACACACACACACACACACACACACACACACACACACACACACACACACACACTCACACACACACACACACACACACACACACACACACACACACTCTCTCTCTCTCTCTCTCTCACACACACACACACACACACACACACACTCACACACACACACACACACACACACACACACACACACACACACACACACACACACACACACACACACACACACACACACACACACACACACACACACACACACACACACACACACCACCCACGTGCCCCGGGTCGTGCGCTTTGAGTCCCGCGGGGCTCGTGTGATTTAGCCGTGGCGTCGCGAGGGCTAGCCTGGCCCTTGCCCCACCGCCTCGTGCGCGTGTGGAGGAGAATTACCTCCCCTTCCCTTCCCTTAAGGTGGAGAAGATGAGCGACCTAACTGTGCCGATGAATTAATTAATTAATTAATTATTAATTTGTTAATTAAGGTGGAGAAGATGAGCGACCTGACTGTGCCGATCGATGCACTGCTGCGCCGCGTCCCGATGGCACAGCTGCAGGCGCCTCCCGCCTCCCCCGCGGCAGACACACACCTGCCGCCTCTGCTTCCCCGCCCCGCGCCCCCCCCCCCCCCCTCCGACCCACTCCTCCCCGCCCGCTCCTCGCCGCCCTACAGGCCCACTTCCAGCTCGCGCGCTTTGCGGACGTGACGGAGTTCCTCACTCTCGTGGCCCTCAAGCGTGGCAAGCTCGGCAAGGGCTGGCGCCCCCGACCACGACGCCGCCGCCCGCGCGGTGCTGCAAGAGTGGAACGCGGGTGCTGCGAGACGCGATGGACGAGACGCGCCTCCGGGAGGCTTCTAGGACCCTTCTCGGAGCTCTCCTGTAGGTGCCCTCCCCTACCACTCGGAGCCTCCACGGCGCGAGGCGGGCGAGGCCGTCTCGCTGGTGCCTCAGGCGACTCGCGCACACCTCTCGGACACTGCCCCTGTCCGTCAGTGGGCGCTCTCGACCACACGCCGGGCTGCCGCACGGGCACACGGGGGAGGCAGCACTGCCTATGCGGCTCATGGCATAGGCATAGACACAGCCTTCCCAGGCGCACTCCTCTCTGACCCCGCCTCCTCGCCCCCCTTCCTTCGCCCACAGCTCGCCTCTCTGACCCCGCCTCCTCGCCCCCCTTCCTTCGCCCACAGCTGGCCGATGAGTTTGACTGGAACGCTGCGCCGCCCCGCGTGGAGCGCGGCGACGAGAGCGACGACGGCGACGACAGCGACGGCGGCGACGGCCCTCTCGACGGCGCTGAGGACGCCTCGATGGGACTGCGGACGACTGGCGCCTTCGCCGCCGCCGGTGCTAGCCGAGGCACGGGCGCTGACACGAGCGCTGCCGCCCCGCCTAGCGCCTCGATCTTTGGCGCGCTGCAAACGTTGCCGGAGCGCGCGCGAGGGCAGCGAGCGCCCAAGTGCGATCTGTCTCTCAGATTGGCCGAATGTTTCGAGTGCTTGGTTCACGCGCTAGTCTCTGCAGCAGGCGCGCAAAGAAGGAGTCGCGGCCGAGGAAGCGCCCCGAGGCCGCGGACGACGAAGCGGTGATCAACCCGCGGCTCAACCGCACCATCCGCAAGCAGCAGCAAAAGGATGGCAAGAAGAAGCGGCGTGCAGCGAGCCGGATGCTCGCCCCGTTTGTCGAGGGCCAAATGCAGCACTGATTCACGTTTCCCACATAATACCCCGGGTACGTTGTGGTTGTGCGCGTGCGAACGGCTTTTCTGTGGTAAGGAGACCACCTTTTTTTCGATTTTACTGGCAGTGGCACACGTGACACTCGACCAACCGTCTCGATTTTGCCAGCTGCAGAGGTGACGCGCCACTCTCGAGACTCGATTCAAAGTGTCCTGCGCTGGCCTGCCGCGGGCGCGCGTGCCGCGTGGCGCGGCCGGGCGGCGGGGGTGTGGCGTGTGGGCCGCGCGATTCCGATCTGGCACGGATCTGCACACGAAGGGTGCTCCACTGGCGTCATCTCGTCAAGCCACCTTGCGGCGCTTCGAGTCGCGCGGCCTCAACCGTGGCAGGGTGCGGCTGCATGGCACTGAGGGTGTCCGCAGGGCCCCTCTTCGGCGCCTCGCCACCGTTTCCGGCAGCAGCCTCCTCTCGAAGGTCACCAAGCGCCTCCGCCGCCTCTTCCCCCGCCTCCGCCTCCGCCTCCACCCCCGCCTCCGCCTCCGCCTCCGCCTCCGCCTCCGCCTCCGCCTCCGCCTCCGCCTCCGCCTCCGCCTCCGCCTCCGCCTCCGCCTCCGCCTCCGCCTCCGCCTCGGCCATCTCACCCCCCGCAATCTCCACCTCTTCGGCACCCACCTCCACCTCTGCCTCGGCCTCTGTGGCTGATTCGGCACCCCTCTCGGTGGCGGCGCGGTCGCTCGTAGCCATCTCCTCCGCCGCTGTCTTCCGCTCGGCATCCTTTGCTGCCTCCTCCGCTAGGCCGTCTGCCGCGGCCGCCACACCTGCAAGGGGCGGCCACGCATGAGGTGTCTCAAGACTGGGCACCCTTGGAGGTCACAGCGAGTGCATAGCACCTGCGCCTGCCCCCCCATCTCTGACACTCTCCACGCTGTCGGGGTTCGAGCGGGATGCAGACGACGGTGGCGAGGATGGGGGCGAGCTAGCGTTGGCGGTGACCTCGGGCACTGCCCCCAGTGCGGCGGCCGGCACCACCGAGCCCGACTGTGGCACTTCCGGCACAGCCGCCGCGGAACCGTTGCGCGTCGAGGTCGTGGTGGCTGCCCCCGCTGTGGCGAGTGGTAGGGTGGTGGAAGTAATGGACACGTTGGAAGAATGATTGGCCACAAAAGTACTGTTGCCCCCCTGAGCGGTAGACGTTGTGGCGCGTGGTTTCGTGGGGCGCTCGGACGCCTCGACGTGTGAGCGAAAGCGCACGGCCCACTCATCCTGGGCAGCAGCCACGTGCATTTCGGCCCGCACCACCGACTCTGTCAGCGACTCGATCGAGGCGGTGGTGGTTGGACCAATGGCCGCTACAATGGCCGCGGTATCGTTGACCTTTGCTTCCACAGCAGCGAGGCGTGTGGCAAGGTCGGCGATCATGCCACGCTGTTGGTCGAGCATCTGATTCTTCACGGCCGCTTCGCGCGCCTGGGATTTTACTGTCGAATCCACCTCACTCGAAGCCCGAGAGACTGACACCCGCGTGGCATCGATGGCGGCGCGGAGGCTTCGGACAGCTGCCTCGTGATCGGATCGCAGGACGTGAAGGCGTGCTTCGTTGCTCTGTGCCTTGGAGTAGAGCGTACTGAAGGACAGAAGTAGCAACGCCAGGGCGAAGGCGAGGGCAAGGCTGCGGCCCCTCATGTGTCTGTATCCGTGTCGGGGGGAGAGGCGTTTGCAGACGTGTCGAAACACCTCTGAAGGGTACCTCTAGGACGCGCTCGACTATTGCACTATTACACTGTGGGACAGGGTCGATTCCTGTTGGAGAGTGTGAACTCAAACCTATTTGTGTAACCGTCTCATGTTTGGTTTGTCCTGCCGCGCACATTGTCATCGACTTGTATCCGACTTGGTGGCTGTGGTGATGTAGCGATGGTGTGGGTCTCTAGTGACCTACACAGCTCCTCCGTGTTCCGTCTCCTGACATGGTACCGACCGGTGAGTGCACGGAGTGAGCAGTGCGGCACTGAGGCCGACATGAGAGCTGGTGCGGCACACAAGCGAGATGTGTTGCCGCACAGCATTTCCGGCTTACGCTCGATACGTTGGCTGGCGCCATGGGCACAGAGGCGAGCCGTGGTGATTGGCTGGGCACAGAGGCTCGGCGCACGGTGGCACAGCGGCCGCCAACTGCTTGGCTCGGAGGCTGAGCAGAATGAGAACAACCGCAACATCAACTTGGGTGCTTGCGGATCTTCTGCGACAGAGCGCGTCTCCGCCAGCACTGCGGCTGGGTGGACACGAGAATCCCCTCTTTCTTCTCCTTACCGGTCCGTTCTCCTCGCCTACGGACCACCATCGCAGCTGCTGCCTCCGCTACCAGCTCTCGGGCTGCTGCAACGGCAGTTGCCGCAAAGATCTCGCACCGAATGTGGACCCTGCCTTTCGCCGCCGCTACTTCCGACGTCGCCGCTCGACACGACGACCGGAGCTGTACGCGATGAACACGCGACGATCGACACGCCCTCTCTGCCTTGTGTGGCGATTACCACGTCGTGGGGGAGTGTTGGGCATCTGTTCGACGTGGCAATGCCACTCTACCTCATTGCTCTCTCTTCCTCGTCTCGCCTCCTCGCGCTAGCCCGTCCCGCTGTCCAACGCCTCTGGCAAGAAGTCCAATGCGCCTCTACGAGCGTCTCTGCCGTCTGGACGTCTGAGACTGAGCCTGCCATCTCCGACGTCGGCGGCCCGTGGCGCAACATCAACGTTCGGGGCATTGAAGATCGTCCTCACGTCCCTGATGCGCTCATCCGCGTCAACGCGGCGAGGCCTCCCAACGGCCCAATCGCCGCGCCGCAAGGGGGCGCCCCCGCTGCCGCTCCCGCGCCCGCCGCGCCTGCCGCGCCCGCTCAAGCCGCCGCCCCGCGACGCTCAGCCCGGATTGCAGCTCGCGGCGCGCCATGACCGAGCTCCACAACGAGCTCCTGTTCATTATCTCCCCTTTCTCTCTCTCCGCCCACTCGGCCGCGCTTTGACCCCTTCACTGGATCATCTTAGCGCGCAAGTCTTGCCAACAAGCAAGACCATCCTTCGCGAAGACGCAAGGTTGGACGCTTAGCCAGCCCCGCGAGACGCCGGCGGGTAACCGGCATACCTACGCTCAGACACATTCACACTCTGCTGTTGTTGTCTGCCGCATCCTGATTCATGAAGACTGCGGAGACAATGGGGGAGTGTTGGAGAGTGTGAACTCAAACCTACTTCCTGACCGTAGCCTGACCGTCCTTGTGTAACCGTCTCATGTTTGGTTTGTCCTGCCGCGCACATTGTCATCGACTTGTATCCGACTTGGTGGCTGTGGTGATGTAGCGATGGTGTGGGTCTCTAGTGACCTATACAGCTCCTCCGTGTTCCGTCTCCTACAATTCCGCATGGACGGGACCCCTCGATCGTCTCGCCCTCCTGGTGTGTTCATAGGGAGGGGTCATCACAAACACGGTACAGGATCGAGGTGCACGCCGCTGAGGGACCCCGGTGTGCTCTCTTGAGCACTTGAGCACTGGATAGGGTCGATTCCGCATGGTACGGGACCCCTCGATCGTCTCGCCCTCCCTCACTGGTGTCTGGTGTGTTCATGGGGGGGGGGGGGGGTCATAACAAACACGGTACAGGATCGAGGTGCACGCTGCCGAAGCAGTGACTCCAGTGTCGTCCCCGTGTGCTCTCTTAGTGCTCTTCGATGATTGCGTCTGGATTCTGTTCCAGACTAGGTCCAGCCCAGGGTGGCCAGATCTGTCTATGAATTCTTTTCTCGTGTCGCGCTGCTAAAAAAATCTTTTGTGGATGTCAGCCGTGCCACGCCGCCTCGCCTCCGCCTCCGCCGCCGCTCCCTCGCCAGACACGCCGCCGCCCGCCCGCCTCCTCGACCTCCCCACGGAGCTCCTCGTGCGTGCCCTCTCTCACTGCGACCCCGCCGACATCGCTCGCATCTACGGTAGCAGAACGTTCGGCGCAGCCGACGGTGGTGGCGGTGGTGGAGGAGGCGTGTTCAGATTGCTGAGGTACTGGTTCAGGGCCACGATGTCAGCGTTGCTCTCCTGAGTGCCGCCCGCCGTGCATGCCGTGTGCCCCCAGTACTGGAGGTACCCGTTGGTCAGCCAGTCGTTGCGGTAGCATCCAAAAGTGGTCCGGACCCCAGTTGCCGCCATGATCGCCGCGTTGAGCGCGCTCACCTCGCTGTTGCAGCGAAAAGCGGCGTTGGTGTTGTACGCGGCAGGCATGAGGAAGTTGGTGTTGTCCGCGGCAGGCATGAGGAAGTCGCGGCCGCTCGTATAGCGCGTGCTCGTAAAGCAGCGGAAGTCGGCAGTGGTGCCTTGCGCTGCGATGGCGCTGTTGAGCAGGCTCGCGTCGGTGTTGCACTGGTTGATATTGTCGGTCGCGGTCGTGATGGAGTGGCAATTGCCGCAACTGGGCTCGCACAGGAAGTGGTTGACGAGCGGCACCGGCGGCGGCGAAAGCGGAGGCGCTGAAGGCGGCAGCGGTGGAGGTGATGTTGGAGGCGGCCGCGGCGGAGGCGGCGGCGACGGCGGCGGCGGCAGCAGCGGCGGCGACGACGGAGGTGGCCGCGGCGGGGTTAACGGTTGGGGCGGGGGTGCCGGCGGCGGCGACGGCAGCGGCGGCGGCGGCGCCGGTGGACGCGGCGACGGCGGCGGGTGTGGCGGCGGTGGCAGGGGAGGATCAAAGAGGAAGTCAAGCCCGGCGTTTGTGACATTGCCCGCGATGGCGCCGAGATCGATGACTGCACCGGTCGCCGCGTATCGAAGCAGCAGCGCGCCAAGAGCCATCCCGACGGCCGCCAGTGTGCACGCGGCTGGGAGAGAGCAGCAGAGCGCGGCCTTAACCGTGCGGCCGCCGCGCCTGGCATCCTGCTGGTCGCGAAGCCGCTGCGGCCGGAAGGCGTTAGAAGGCCGCGCCCGGGAGGACCCCGCCGCGTTTTGCAACGCGAGCAACCGGAGAGCAACCGGAGAGTTGAGTAAGGACCCCG